TGCTTGATGGACTTAATCACCGGTGATGAATAGCCTCATGCCGAATCCGTGATCTGTAGCCTTCAAAATCCAAGGAAAATGGCCTTTCGAAAAAAATCGCCCAAATAATTACGAAAATGCCATCCGAAAATTAATCCGCCCAAACCGGTGCCTAACGGGCTTAAGCATCGGGGGATAATAGGATCAATAGACTTCATCATCGGTGGAGAATAGCCTCGGGCCGAATCCGCGGTCTCTAGCCTTCAAAATCGCAAGAAAATGGCATTTCGGAAAAATCACCCGAAATCTGTGATGGTACCCCTTTGGAGTCTGCCAAAAATTGGCCCGGAAGAAATTCGCCCAAATCGCTGCTTGATGGACTTAATCATCAGTGAAGAATAGCCTCAGGCCGAATCCGTGATCTGTTGCCTTCAAAATCCAAGGAAAATGGTCTTTCGAAAAAAAAATCGCTCAAATAATTACGAGAATGCCAACCGATAATTAATCCGCCCAAACCGGTGCCTAACGGGGTTACGCATCGGGGGAGAATAGGATCAATAGACTTCATCATCGGTGGAGAATAGCCTCGAGCTGAATCCGCGGTCTCTAGCCTTCAAAATCGCAAGAAAATGGCATTTCGGAAAAATCACCCGAAATCTGTGATGGTACCCCTTTGGAGTCTGCCAAAAATTGGCCCGGAAGAAATTCGCCCAAATCGCTGCTTGATGGACTTAATCACCGGTGATGAATAGCCTCATGCCGAATCCGTGATCTGTAGCCTTCAAAATCCAAGGAAAATGGCCTTTCGAAAAAAATCGCCCAAATAATTACGAAAATGCCATCCGAAAATTAATCCGCCCAAACCGGTGCCTAACGGGCTTAAGCATCGGGGGATAATAGGATCAATAGACTTCATCATCGGTGGAGAATAGCCTCGGGCCGAATCCGCGGTCTCTAGCCTTCAAAATCGCAAGAAAATGGCATTTCGGAAAAATCACCCGAAATCTGTGATGGTACCCCTTTGGAGTCTGCCAAAAATTGGCCCGGAAGAAATTCGCCCAAATCGCTGCTTGATGGACTTAATCACCGGTGATGAATAGCCTCATGCCGAATCCGTGATCTGTAGCCTTCAAAATCCAAGGAAAATGGCCTTTCGAAAAAAATCGCCCAAATAATTACGAAAATGCCATCCGAAAATTAATCCGCCCAAACCGGTGCCTAACGGGCTTAAGCATCGGGGGATAATAGGATCAATAGACTTCATCATCGGTGGAGAATAGCCTCGGGCCGAATCCGCGGTCTCTAGCCTTCAAAATCGCAAGAAAATGGCATTTCGGAAAAATCACCCGAAATCTGTGATGGTACCCCTTTGGAGTCTGCCAAAAATTGGCCCGGAAGAAATTCGCCCAAATCGCTGCTTGATGGACTTAATCACCGGTGATGAATAGCCTCATGCCGAATCCGTGATCTGTAGCCTTCAAAATCCAAGGAAAATGGCCTTTCGAAAAAAATCGCCCAAATAATTACGAAAATGCCATCCGAAAATTAATCCGCCCAAACCGGTGCCTAACGGGCTTAAGCATCGGGGGATAATAGGATCAATAGACTTCATCATCGGTGGAGAATAGCCTCGGGCCGAATCCGCGGTCTCTAGCCTTCAAAATCGCAAGAAAATGGCATTTCGGAAAAATCACCCGAAATCTGTGATGGTACCCCTTTGGAGTCTGCCAAAAATTGGCCCTGGAAGAAATTCGCCCAAATCGCTGCTTGATGGACTTAATCACCGGTGATGAATAGCCTCATGCCGAATCCGTGATCTGTAGCCTTCAAAATCCAAGGAAAATGGCCTTTCGAAAAAAATCGCCCAAATAATTACGAAAATGCCATCCGAAAATTAATCCGCCCAAACCGGTGCCTAACGGGCTTAAGCATCGGGGGATAATAGGATCAATAGACTTCATCATCGGTGGAGAATAGCCTCGGGCCGAATCCGCGGTCTCTAGCCTTCAAAATCGCAAGAAAATGGCATTTCGGAAAAATCACCCGAAATCTGTGATGGTACCCCTTTGGAGTCTGCCAAAAATTGGCCCGGAAGAAATTCGCCCAAATCGCTGCTTGATGGACTTAATCACCGGTGATGAATAGCCTCATGCCGAATCCGTGATCTGTAGCCTTCAAAATCCAAGGAAAATGGCCTTTCGAAAAAAATCGCCCAAATAATTACGAAAATGCCATCCGAAAATTAATCCGCCCAAACCGGTGCCTAACGGGCTTAAGCATCGGGGGATAATAGGATCAATAGACTTCATCATCGGTGGAGAATAGCCTCGGGCCGAATCCGCGGTCTCTAGCCTTCAAAATCGCAAGAAAATGGCATTTCGGAAAAATCACCCGAAATCTGTGATGGTACCCCTTTGGAGTCTGCCAAAAATTGGCCCGGAAGAAATTCGCCCAAATCGCTGCTTGATGGACTTAATCACCGGTGATGAATAGCCTCATGCCGAATCCGTGATCTGTAGCCTTCAAAATCCAAGGAAAATGGCCTTTCGAAAAAAATCGCCCAAATAATTACGAAAATGCCATCCGAAAATTAATCCGCCCAAACCGGTGCCTAACGGGCTTAAGCATCGGGGGATAATAGGATCAATAGACTTCATCATCGGTGGAGAATAGCCTCGGGCCGAATCCGCGGTCTCTAGCCTTCAAAATCGCAAGAAAATGGCATTTCGGAAAAATCACCCGAAATCTGTGATGGTACCCCTTTGGAGTCTGCCAAAAATTGGCCCGGAAGAAATTCGCCCAAATCGCTGCTTGATGGACTTAATCACCGGTGATGAATAGCCTCATGCCGAATCCGTGATCTGTAGCCTTCAAAATCCAAGGAAAATGGCCTTTCGAAAAAAATCGCCCAAATAATTACGAAAATGCCATCCGAAAATTAATCCGCCCAAACCGGTGCCTAACGGGCTTAAGCATCGGGGGATAATAGGATCAATAGACTTCATCATCGGTGGAGAATAGCCTCGGGCCGAATCCGCGGTCTCTAGCCTTCAAAATCGCAAGAAAATGGCATTTCGGAAAAATCACCCGAAATCTGTGATGGTACCCCTTTGGAGTCTGCCAAAAATTGGCCCGGAAGAAATTCGCCCAAATCGCTGCTTGATGGACTTAATCACCGGTGACGAATAGCCTCATGCCGAATCCGTGATCTGTAGCCTTCAAAATCCAAGGAAAATGGCCTTTCGAAAAAAATCGCCCAAATAATTACGAAAATGCCATCCGAAAATTACTCCGCCCAAACCGGTGCCTAACGGGCTTAAGCATCGGGGGATAATAGGATCAATAGACTTCATCATCGGTGGAGAATAGCCTCAGGCCGAATCCGCGGTCTCTAGCCTTCAAAATCGCAAGAAAATGGCATTTCGGAAAAATCACCCGAAATCTGTGATGGTACCCCTTTGGAGTCTGCCAAAAATTGGCCCGGAAGAAATTCGCCCAAATCGCTGCTTGATGGACTTAATCACCGGTGATGAATAGCCTCATGCCGAATCCGTGATCTGTAGCCTTCAAAATCCAAGGAAAATGGCCTTTCGAAAAAAATCGCCCAAATAATTACGAAAATGCCATCCGAAAATTAATCCGCCCAAACCGGTGCCTAACGGGCTTAAGCATCGGGGGATAATAGGATCAATAGACTTCATCATCGGTGGAGAATAGCCTCGGGCCGAATCCGCGGTCTCTAGCCTTCAAAATCGCAAGAAAATGGCATTTCGGAAAAATCACCCGAAATCTGTGATGGTACCCCTTTGGAGTCTGCCAAAAATTGGCCCGGAAGAAATTCGCCCAAATCGCTGCTTGATGGACTTAATCACCGGTGATGAATAGCCTCATGCCGAATCCGTGATCTGTAGCCTTCAAAATCCAAGGAAAATGGCCTTTCGAAAAAAATCGCCCAAATAATTACGAAAATGCCATCCGAAAATTAATCCGCCCAAACCGGTGCCTAACGGGCTTAAGCATCGGGGGATAATAGGATCAATAGACTTCATCATCGGTGGAGAATAGCCTCGGGCCGAATCCGCGGTCTCTAGCCTTCAAAATCGCAAGAAAATGGCATTTCGGAAAAATCACCCGAAATCTGTGATGGTACCCCTTTGGAGTCTGCCAAAAATTGGCCCGGAAGAAATTCGCCCAAATCGCTGCTTGATGGACTTAATCACCGGTGATGAATAGCCTCATGCCGAATCCGTGATCTGTAGCCTTCAAAATCCAAGGAAAATGGCCTTTCGAAAAAAATCGCCCAAATAATTACGAAAATGCCATCCGAAAATTAATCCGCCCAAACCGGTGCCTAACGGGCTTAAGCATCGGGGGATAATAGGATCAATAGACTTCATCATCGGTGGAGAATAGCCTCGGGCCGAATCCGCGGTCTCTAGCCTTCAAAATCGCAAGAAAATGGCATTTCGGAAAAATCACCCGAAATCTGTGATGGTACCCCTTTGGAGTCTGCCAAAAATTGGCCCGGAAGAAATTCGCCCAAATCGCTGCTTGATGGACTTAATCACCGGTGATGAATAGCCTCATGCCGAATCCGTGATCTGTAGCCTTCAAAATCCAAGGAAAATGGCCTTTCGAAAAAAATCGCCCAAATAATTACGAAAATGCCATCCGAAAATTAATCCGCCCAAACCGGTGCCTAACGGGCTTAAGCATCGGGGGATAATAGGATCAATAGACTTCATCATCGGTGGAGAATAGCCTCGGGCCGAATCCGCGGTCTCTAGCCTTCAAAATCGCAAGAAAATGGCATTTCGGAAAAATCACCCGAAATCTGTGATGGTACCCCTTTGGAGTCTGCCAAAAATTGGCCCGGAAGAAATTCGCCCAAATCGCTGCTTGATGGACTTAATCACCGGTGATGAATAGCCTCATGCCGAATCCGTGATTCATCGAACTTTGAAAAGGGCCTCAGGTATCACTTTAATTACCTTTTAGTACCTAGAACTTTGAAAAACACCCAAAACATTAACAATTCAGTAAATAACATCTCAAACTTAGTCAACCACTTTATAGGTACAAAATTAATATAATGACCACTTTATAGTACATACTTTGTTCCCCTAATGCAACAGTCACTTCTTTCACTTCTTATAGGTTAGATTAATTCATTTTTTCATGCGAATACAATTCTTCTTCTTTATGTCGGGGAAGCGAAGATAGCAGCTGCTTGCTCGTTGTCAGGGTCCGCAAAAAGGGCATTCAGATACATAGCCAACCGAACTCCGCCTTGAGCGATGCGTCTCATCACGATCGGCATTCTGGACTCGAAGTACTCATCTGCCACAAATTATGTGTTTGGTCAAAAGCATGCAAAGGTGGCAATTGTTTATCCAGATCGGTTGACTTGTATCTGATAGAGTGTGACCCAAGAATTAGAAACAAGTTTTTACCTGATAGAGTTTGACCTTCCTTGACGCCTTTGTAGCCCCATTTGCAAGCTATGGTTATGCTCTCCACTGCATATCTACAGACGCCAGAATAAGAAGGAAACGTAAAGAGACTTCCAAAGTTTTACAGCTGTGATGAACGAATGTTCTCGTGATTTCAGTGAATGCCAACTTTAACGGATTGAGGAGAGGAAGAAAATCTTTACTTGTTGGGACATTCCAAAAGATCGTCGCAATCTCTCCACGACAGCAGATCATCATGCCATAAACCCTGCCATTTCCAACGTAGCACACCCCCTCATTTTAATTACAGCACAAGAAACCAAAAAAAAGAAAGGCTAACAAACTGTTCAGAAGTTTCAGCAAAAAAAGTGGAGTGTTGATTACGCACGTCAGTGAAGTTTCCTTCGATTGCTTGCTGGAGGAGGTCGACATCTTTATCGTAGTAATCCTTGAGCGCTTGCAGGATGATCTCCCTGTCCCATACCTGCAGCATGCATGGACCAATTTAGTACCGAATGATTGATAAACACTGTTGTTATTGATCTGGTCATAGAGACTTGAGCAGGGGGAAATAAGATGGCATGAGATCCTCACATGGTGAAGATTGGATTTATGGCGGAACCAGCGCAGGTCGATAGTGTTGCCGCCTTCGTCAGAAGTGAAGCCTACGTGCAGCGGCTGGTGGATGTCGCCCATGAAGTGCGACAAGAAGAGCAACGCTTCCGTCAAGTTATCTGCAGAGATTTAACGAATCCCGTGAGTGACTATAAGCCACTAGGCTACTTTGTTGATCTTTCATTACATGCGATTATACTATAACAGCTTCAAAATGCTTACATCGTCGATCCGTGCTGCCTTCTTTGTAGTGTGAGAGCTGAGATGTGAAGTTCTGAATGGCACCCGCCACGCAACGATCCTTAACGCAGTCCCCTAAAGTGCAAATCATTGAATCAGCAAACTCCAAACTCATTTAACCGTACAAGAAAAAGTTGGTTAGAAGCTTGGTTGAAGTTGATAACTTGAGTGGTCGAAGGTGCAGGCATCATCAGGGGTGTCGATGAAGTGAAGTGGGCTGGTCCACCTGTATTTATACCAATGCCGGATTTGGTCCGGCCAGACGCAAAGCGCTGACAAGTCTCCGTTCACATTTTCCGGCAAAAGTTGTTTCACGGCGTGTGCTGCCTCCGGCTTCAAAAGATTCTGTAACAGATATAAAATTGCAAACAAAGGTCTTCGCTTTAGGTAGAGGCTTGGCAGTTGTGGCGCCACACATTGCAAAAAAAAGAAAAATTAGTTGCGTGCACAATACTTCTAACTATCCAACATGCTTTTGGTAAACAACAAATGATGTAAAGGGCAAGAAAGCAACTCCTCGCTTACAGGGGCAGCGAGGAAGCCAATCCCAAAATGATCCAACCTGCTCAACTCAAACTAGACATGTTTATCAATTTGTAACACTTGTGAGTTGTGACCCAACCTACTACGACCACCCATCCATTACGACTTGACAATTTGGCAGAGGTGAAAAGCTTTGCTTACTGTGTGCCACGAATCCAAAGAAAAAAAGGCCGATTCATTCGGACATGAATGACAGACATATGACCACTAACTGAAAACGAAGAGGAGAAAGGAAGACAAAAGAAAATAAGAGCTCAACTGGCAATGAAAGAGTTCAACTAAAAGCATTACAATATGATTTGAAACGAAGGTGGATGCATGGCGGAATAGTGCAAGAATGAATTGAGAAACGAAAGGGGAACGAACGTACCTGTGCAATTCGACATGTTATCATGTGACCTTCCTTGCTCCAACTCACAGCTCCAGGGACCAAGACGATGGCCAGAGCTACAAACAGAAGTAAACCAAATGACCGCATTTCTCTTCAAGGGAATTTTCTGTCCTTTCTCAAGCCACCAGGTGTCCAAATGCTGCCCTGCCACAGAATAACTAAGAAGATGCAAGAAGAAGAAATCAGGCAAACGGGTTACATATGTGCAGTTATATATAATAAGGGTACAACAATAGTCTTGAGATGACAGAGTCAATGTGTCCTATTAATAAGGATAAATAGGTAACCATTGAGTACAAGATTCAACTTCCCCTTATTTTGAGTGTCCTTAAAGTTTGACATTCATCCTAAGCAATACAACAGAACAGAGCATATTGTACAGGAATCTTTCATTCCAAGTGAGATTTTGAGAAAAGTCAACAGATAGTAGCTAAGGACTCACTAATTAGCCTGCCTAACACATGAGGGGCGCCCAATAATGATGCACCTACAGATCATACTGCATACGTTTGCTTGTTTGGGAAATCTAAACTACAACTTGTCTAATCTGTCATCTAATAAACAATCTCACGGTCGCTTCCTTTCTTATCCCATGATGGGCTTCATCTTCGTGACTCAGCAATTTGTACTTTGGAAGCAAAGACGCGGTTGAGGGTAGCAGCCAAACAGACACCAGCTTGGGCAACCCGTTCCTCCACAATAGGTAGCCGAGAAAGGAAGTAATCATCTGCATAACAAATGAAGAAAAAGAGGAATTACACAATGATAAGATGCAGATTGCCAACTCAAGTAGTGCGATTTGCTATAAGAACACGATATCAAACGGAACAAGTATGCAATTTGCAAAAAAAACATGCCTATTTGAGATCAGCATGTCTCCACAACTAACTTGGTAGCTTTAAAAATTATGCTGAGACTTGGTCGTTTCATGTGCATGGTCAACAATAATTAATTGAGGAATTACCGGTCAGGGTGCTTCCTGGTGTAGCATTCCTGTATGCATACTTGCACGCCAAACTGATACTTTCAGAAGCAAACCTGCATAGTTCAAAGAATAAACTATCAATCACCAATATCTGATCTTCTAAGAGATGCATGAAGTCAGTTCTCTACAGCATGTACATTCAACATTGCAGTTCATCTAATGAAGTTTCCAATGAAAATTTCAAGTTAAAACTAATCCATGCTGAAGAATAGGTCTTATATAATTAGAAGGTGTAACATACGCCTTAACTAGATTTTCTCATCTCTTAATAGTAAGCTAGCCAGTTACGTACGTCGTTAACATTTTTATACATTTTGACAAATTTCTAGAAGGAAAGCAACATGTAAAAACATCTGATGCAGATAGGAACAATTATGAGTGCTACTAGATAGAGAAGGACATACACATTTGGACAGACTGTTTGATTCCCCTCACAGTCACCCCACAGCGGCAGTTCATTGTCCTGTTGAGATTATGAGATATCAGGAAAACAAATGAAGGTGTAAAGACAATTAGATACTACTATGCCGTTACAGTTAGTGTTGCATAAGCCTACCGTTATATTGCTCTGAATCGAGTTAATCATGGTAGTGAGATCCGAATTATAGAAATCTTTCATGGCGGATTCAATGATGCTCGTATCCCACACCTGAGAGACAATCATAGCATGGTAATCAGTCGCTAATTTGCCAAGAAAAAGAAGTTACACTCTTGTGATAGAACATCCGCATGGATCAACAGAAAAAGCTTACATGATGTAGATTAGCCTTTCTAGTGTACCAATGAACTATGATTGTGTTTCCTCCCAAGTCCCCCAGAAAACCAACATGTAAGGGCTGCCAAAAACAGAACACGTCACTGAGAGATCAGCAAAAAGCAACAGAAGAGCACCATTGTTGTCAATCAGAACCTTCATAAGCTCGTTACAGCATACAAACTCGGGTTATGTAACAAAAAAATGAGAGAACAAAGCACGGCATATAGATAGAGAGCACAAACCTGATGAACGTCCCCAACAAAATGTGATAAGAACAACAGTGCCTCTGTTAGATTATCTGCAACCAATCACCAAATTAACACAAATCAATTTTGAACAAACAACAAAAAGGCAAAGAATATCATGATATCAAACTCATGTGGAGCCAAACAAACGCTCACAGTTAGTCACCGCTCCAGGGTTGTGGTACTCCGACTTCAGTTGGTCAGTGTAGTTGTAGATAGCTGCAGTCACGCATGCGTATCGATGCCCCGACGAGTCATGGCAATCTCCTGCAACAAAAAAGCAGTCCAATGGTGGTGACCAACTAAGCAATCGCGTTTGACGTCTCTTTCAAATGGAAAACACCAAATTCAATCCATGGAGCAAAGAATCAACCACTTAACTGGCAAAATCATAGTTGCAGAAGAAGTCCGGTGTATCAACATAGTGGAGAGCGCTACTCCAGTGATAGCGAAAATTCATGGTGTCCGCCCAAGAGCAAAGACTCGCCAGATCGCCGTCGGCATACTCCGGAAGCAGTTCTTTCACCGCCGCCGTCGCGTCTTCGTTCAGATACGCCTGAAATTGGAGAGAACTCAGATTACGATCACCGCCTCAATCAGTTCAATCGAAGCCGAGAAACACTATCACTCGCCTCAGCGATCTTGCAAACGGCGTAGTGACCTTCCTTTCCCCAGCCGAGAGCTCCGGTGACGAACTGGAGAAGAAGAAGTGCTTTCCATATCCGCAGCAGCGGAGAGCTACTCATTCCCATGAGTGAGCTAACCCTTCGATTTGAAGAAGTAGAGAAAAATGTAGTTCATATGCAAGTGTTTATTGAAGTACCGGCGAAGAACGGGAACAGAAGGCGGAAACGGTAAGCGATTCTTACCTACAGAATCAGGCAAGTAGTTGGTTGGGTTTCCGGTGGCGGAGCTGGAAGCCTGGAACTACTGGCTGAGAGATTTCCGAGGAGGCTGCAATGGCGGGAGGACATGTAGCTTTTCAGCTTACTGCGAGTCTGCGACCGAGGAAGAAGGTTTTCCGGTTTACACGGAGACGCTAAACGACAACGCCTTGGTTGACACGTAGGTGTTTGGTTTGTTGGAGGCTTGGAGCATTGACTAATGGCCAATCGCATTGGTTGCCGTGAAGCATTGAACAAGGCGAGAAACATATATAATTATAAGTGATGATCAATTTGTTATTCATCCAAAGTTTGGTGGCCGTTTTGTAATTACTTGTTCTATTTTTTTTTTTTCATTTCTAGATAGAAGAAACAAGACTGAAAAGGAAACCAGTCGTATTCTCGTTTTCTTGTATATACTCTTGTGAGCTAGTACTGTCCAGAACTCCTCTAGAGGCTAGAGCAAAAAGTGAACGGAGGTCTCGAAAATGAAAGCGGTGGTGATCACATCTCCCGGCGGCCCGGAGGTCCTGCAACTGCATCAAGTCGACGATCCACAGATCAAAGACGACGAAGTTCTGATCAAGGTCGCTGCCACCGCCATCAACCGCGCCGATACCATCCAGCGGCAGGGGAAGTATCCTCCGCCGAAGGGCGCCAGCGAGTACCTCGGCCTCGAATGCTCCGGTACCGTCGAAGCCGTCGGTAGCCGCGTTTCCCGATGGAAAATTGGCGATCAGGTGTGTGCTCTGCTCAGCGGCGGAGGTTACGCGGAGAAAGTGGCGGTTCCGGAGGCGCAAGTTCTCCCCGTACCCCAGGGCATCTCTTTCACCGACGCCGCCGCTTTCCCGGAAGTCGCGTGTACTGTCTGGTCAACGATTTTCATGACCAGCCGGCTCTCTCCCGGCGAAACGCTTCTGGTAAATGTTTAATCACTCGTTCTTTCTCTATCTCTTTCACCGGACGGGGGAGAGAATCAGCAAAACCTTTCGTTGAATTTCCGGAAATCCTTACAGGTTCACGGCGGCTCGAGCGGTATTGGGACGTTTGCGATTCAGATAGCGAAACATATAGGGATTCGAGTTTTCATCACTGCAGGTATATGTCCCAATTCCTATTCCAATTCTTGTTTTCAATTCATTTGCAGCTGAAACCCTAGAGCGGGTTTGGAATCCATTCTCATTTCTGTAGAATTCTACTCTGAATTTCAAATTGCCTGTGTTTGGAGCAAGTCGTATGATTTTTGACGGCCAAATGGAACTAAATTTCTCAACTTGGTACCAAAAATCACAATTAGCAGAAACCAGTATGTAAATAGGGACTGAAGTTGACTTTGCTTACTTGGCATTGCCCCAAATCCTTAGGGAGTAAGGAGAAGTTAGAGGCATGCAGAGATCTCGGAGCTGATGTTTGCATCAACTACAAGACCGAGGATTTCGTGGCTCGAGTGAAGGAGGAAACTGATGGAAAAGGTATATACTTTAGGCTTGTTGCCATAACCTTCTAAGTAGATGAATGAGTCAGCCTTTGCCTTGCCTTCTTGATCTTGCAAAATGCCTGACTGATTTATCGCTCGGCAGGAGTTGATGTCATTCTGGATTGCCTTGGAGCGTCCTACTTCCAGCGAAACCTCGACAGCTTGAACTTCGATGGCAGGCTGTTTATCATCGGAATGATGGGTGGAACCAAGACAGAGATGAACCTGCCTACTCTGTTTGCAAAGCGCCTCACAGTGCAAGGTACGAGAGCTTTGACATTGGTTTGGAGTTTGGTTAACTTTCTCTGTGTGAGATATAAATACGTACAATTAACTGGTGCTGGTGGTGTTTATGTTTCACAGCTGCTGGTTTGAGATACAGAACTGCAGAGAACAAAGCTGCAATTGTGAACGAGGTGGAGAAGAATGTGTGGCCGGCAATCGCTGCAGGGAAAGTCAAGCCTATTGTGTACAAGGTCTTTCCTTTCTCTGAGGCAGCCGACGCTCATAAGCTGATCGAGAGTAGCCAGCATATCGGCAAGATCCTCCTTGTTCCATCCTAACTCCCAAGGCATTTCGTTCTATAGGAATATGAACTGAGCAGGCTAGTGGGATTTGTGCAAACTGATGTTTCGTCATTGGGAGTCCAGTTGGTGTAGCAGTACTGTGTTTCTCTCTGAGGTAGCCGAGGCTCATAAACTGATTGAGAGCAGCCAGCATACCGGCAAGATCCTCCTTGTGACCTCCTAATGCTTGTTGCATTCCTTGCTTGTTCGTTTGGGACGTTGGAGACACCAACGAGCTATGAAGTCGTACAATCAATAAGAATAGCTTGCAATTTTATGTCGTTGTTTCCTTTAGTTGGTTGAACTCTTTTAATTTGCTAGTCTTTTCTTGATTATAACATGGTTTACAAAATCTTATGATTTCGATATTACATAAACTTTCGATATGGACAACATTTCCACCCAACTTTGAGCATCTACAATAAACATGCGGCAATGAGGAACATGAATGAATAGAAAATGAGGTCTGAGCGTAGGAGGCAGTTTATACTTTCTGTCGGTAACGAAATAGCGGATTTACAAAGTGATTTCAAAGTAAAATCGTGAATCGATGAGAACGATCGCTGTATATTGAAAATGAATGGTGTGAAGTATTTGCCTGTTCTTTCCTTGATAGGCAAGGAATCGAGATCCTTTCTAGCTGCAGAGAGCTTCCACCGCAAACCGTTTTGAAACTCCAGGACAAGCTTCAGCGAGGCTAGCAGCCGCCGATGATAAAGGAATCGAGCATCCTTCTTGCCCAATGCACGCCTGTGAAACAATCCACCACAAAAACCTTCAATTTCAGAGTCACCACTCGGGCAAATAGAACAGAGTTCTCCAAACCAGACACGAAGAGAAGAAGTCTTTTAGTAATTTACCTTCTGGACAACAGATAACATGTCAGCATGACAAGCCCCAGGTGTAAACCTCCCACAATCTCCTTCAGGGTCGCCGAATCCAGCGAAATTGATGGAGGTAATGCGCCATCCTTGCTCGCATTTCAGTCGAACTTCGGGGCTCTGAGACCTGAATTCCATGTTTGGTCTCCAAGATTCTGGTGGTGTTGGATCTTCCTCTGAAACAACAGAACATATCTCCTGGCCTGTGTGTGCTAACACAGAAATCTGGGTTGGATCGCCTCCAAGCTCCTCGCGTAGGACCAATAGGTTGTCGCCAGAATGAACCCAGGACCGAGGAATATGATACAACGTTTGAGAAGGTTGACCACATTTCGTCAGGCAAGACTTTGCATCATGAGGTCCTCTGTAATCGCAAGTGTCGCTGCAGCCTGCTGCTGGTGATAGATAGGTTGACCAGTATCGTCCTATGCTCTGCTCGTTCACCCATGCTTCACCTTTTCCCATGCCGGCAAGGTCTAGGACCAAGGGTCCATTTCCTTCGGGAGAAGGGAATGTCGTCTAAGAGAAGAGGGACATTGGTGAAATGATTGAACGGTTGATAAGAGATGAAAAGGAAAAAATTTCTCCGCTGCAATCGTTTCTGATTAATGACTAACCTTGTACCAAACCAAACTCTCACTGACGGGCATATCAGTTCCCTGAGTCCAGAGTGAGCTATTTGCTGCATTGACTTCTTTTTCAAGTCCAAGGCTTTCTCCATTGAGTCCCACCTGGAAAGGAAGGATGAAAGCATGTGAAGAGACATGATCAAATGATTAGTGAAACCCAACTCTTTCATTCCCATGATCACCGGAACCTTATGTTTAAAAAATAGTACCAACCTGGTAATCCCAGTTTCTAGAAGAAAGCATGTTGATACCACTGCGGAAGTCAGCCATGAAAACGGCAACAAGTCCAGCCTTTTGAACATCGAACCATGGGCCGTAGTTCTGAAGAAACAATGTATCAATCATAAGTATGGATCAAGACTTTCAGCACACGTTATTTCAACTAGTATGGGATAAGTAGGATCAATTGGCTAGTGAACATTTAGCAGGAGAAGTTGCAGACTGATTGATTGTGAAAAACTTGTGACCTTTTGTTTTCCATTTTTTGGGTGAAACATTGTTAAAATATGTGATACGATGGTGGAACGATTGATTTGGGCCACAATGTCAAGGGGACTTCAGAGCCCCAGATGAATAATAATACGAAGGGGTGCGTATTTGCACCTTTATTTGGACCACAACGGAATGACTTTTAGTATAAAGTATAAACGAATTACAAAAATAGGTGGGTAGAGAAAGTGCTTTAGAAATTTAAAAACCCACAGTTCTAAGTCTAACAAACATGACAGATGATAGTTTGACATCCTAAACTTTTCATGTCCACAAGAAGATCAGTGACATGTCAGTGTTCGTGAGCTAGGAATCATGGTAGACATGAAAAAAGTGCCCACTGGTTTTTTCAATCGCTGTCCTGTTTCAACCCAATTATGGATCATCATTCAAGGAGGGTAATTGCTCTAACCTGGACACCAACCATCATACTCAAAATGTCGAGTGTGTTGGTTCCTTCTACAAGTGTGACTTTCTGAGATAGTGAGAATGCTGCAATGTCGTGATTTCCAAACCCAAATGCTGCAAGTAATACATAACCCTGTTTAGGATTGGCATGCAAACAGATTGTTGGGATGTGATGAAGGAGAACTAGCTTTATCGAGGTACCTACCGACACGATTCTTGTTCAGGAAGACCAGTGCTGCTTGCCCCAAACTCTCGATGTTCAATAGAGCGTCAATGGCTTGACCGTCATTCACAAAACTGGTGAGGAATTTAAAGCAGAAACCCAACATGATTACACGATACGACTGCACAAGTTCATGTGAGCATGAAAGATGTATGATATTTAGATTAGTTACCTCGTTGAGTACCACAGGAAATCACTAGTGTCTTGTGTGGTATTAATATGCTCCAACAAGCCTTGAGCAGTAAAAGAGTTGTTGCCGTCTGAAATGCCTATTTCTTCTTTGTGCCAATTCCAAGACTCCCCGAGTGAAACCTCTTTCCTCGTTGTATTGCTAGCAAGGGGAGAGTCATGGATGCTTCTTTGAGTAGTAACCTGCAATTATGGACAGCCAAGATATACAAATGTATGAAAACACTAGTGTATGACTTCCAGTGGCCTTTAATGCATTGTAACTGCACATGTTTAACCTTTCTTTCCAACTTAAGTTATACGAACTAAAATTTTAGATGAAACAAACACATCCATGTCGTATTTACCTTTGCGGTGTTGAAAATTTCATTTTTGGAGTCTGGAAGTACACTCACAGACCAAGCTGGGAGAAAATAAGTATTGCCATTGAATGTGACATTTGCATCAGAGCTGCTTCCATAATTAGCAAGAAATGCAGCACAATCATCTGAAGCTATGCAGTAGACATGTGCCTAATGAAAACAAGATCAAACTGAGTTGAGAGCATGAGACGAAAGAACCTTCTAAACGCTCAATGTTACTCATACTCATATACCTCTAGGTTATATCCCAAAGACTGCTCAGTGGAATCTCCGTCGACTAGGTGGTCTTCACACTGTTTTATTGCCTGGTGTAAGTCTCGCAGGTGTCCCCACTTTGGCTGTCTTATAAACCCTGATAAAGAGGTAAATGCCATCATCTTGCAGTTTTGAAATGGAAGTTTCAAATGCATAAATTCAAGTGCTGAGATGAATGAGACAGTGAAATATTTTACCATATTCATCAATTGGGGCATCATAATCATAGCTTGTCGCAATCATAGGACCTCCAGCTGTTCGTCCAAAGTTGGTTCCACCAAAGTACTGCATATAAAGGTAGGTGAAATAAGACCAGGGTACAGAAATCCAGTCACGGGTTTGTTATAATTTCATGTAGAGAACATAACAGCTAGCATGAAAGAGAACATGAAACACTTGCCATGTAATAGTTTTGCAATGTTCCACCATACTGAAAGAAGCGAGCAACAGCAAAAGCCACATCTTCAACGGGACGTTGTGGAACCGGTGAGCCAAATGCAGCAAACCTGAATGAGCAAGGAGAATGTCAGATGAGAACCTGGTTTTATAAATCTTTATATGAGGAAAAGAAGAAAGAATCATTTACCATCCAGGATAGTTCTCAGTCCAGAATTTTGGTTTCGATGGAGAATTTGGGGTAAACTGATCACAGTAAAATCCATTGCACGTGTTTATCTGTATTTGACAACTCATACCATGTTACTAATCACACAACCTTCTCAAATTACAAGGACAAACGAACCAAGGCATGAGAAGAATCCATACGATCGGATCAGGAGCATCAGACTGTTGGCACATCACCCAAGGTACTGACACATTGAGGTTAAGAGCGGTATTTGCAGCCCATTTGACATAGTTTGGTCCAGGAAGCCCATAAGCCCACTCAACATTACCATATTCATTCTCAACCTGTTCTCAAGACATACAAGATATTTGATCAAACTTCCAGGATGGACACACAAAGCATAGTGATTCATGCACGCAGAGTAATAAGAATGTTAATTAACCTGGGCAAGAATGACTGGCCCTCCTTGTGATGCAAATAGATTCTCCTCGTTCATTAAATTCACAATTTTCTCAAGGAAGCGCTGCATTTCACTCTGCAGGGAGGAGACAGCATACCAAGCTTACAATGTCTGCTGGAATGAATAAGGAAAAGCTACAGAACGCTCATAACCAAACATTGACAAGAAAATGATTACCTGGAACACGCTGTTTGTAGTCCGGAACTGAATTCCGGGAAGGAAATGTAACCACATAGGGAATCCTCTGCACATGTGAAATTGAACTAATTATGATGCTACCAATACCTAAAATGAGACAAGACTACTATTTGGCTATAGCAATAACAGAAAAAGAAAACAAGTTACTAGCATTACCCATAGTTCCATTCAGCACAAGCATATGGGCCAATCCGCAAGTGAACCATCAGACCAGCATCTTGAACCGTTCTCAAGAACTTGACCAGGTCAAACCTGCCTTCAAAGTAGTACTTTGAAAAACAAGAAGGAAACAAAGCATCACTAGTGCCACAAGATCTACACAAACCAATCTCCATAGGACAAAGAACTTTATGAATAATTCACCTGTCCTCTCAGAGGCTCATGATAGTTCCAAAACACATAAGTTTCAATCACGTCCAATCCCCCTTCCTTCGACTTCCTAATGATCTCGGGCCACATCTGAGAAAGAACCAATCATCCCAAGCATCAAACAGCAGTCCACATTTAACAATGCCTATACACATAAAAAAAAAGGTTAAACAAAGAGAAAACAAACCTCGGGGCTGGTTCGAGGATAATGAACAGAACCGGACTGCAGAATCCGCCGCTTCCCATCAATGACCAGAGCCCTGTGATCATAAGACACAGAAGCACTATTTGCTTTCTCAAGACCATAAAAACATTCAAACAGTACTACAAGAAGCAGCCAAGCAAATGCCGAACAATAGTTCTTCCTAATCATTGTCCAACTCTAATTTGCCTAATCTGTGGAATGAAAAGAGACATGAGAGAATTGCTTATAAATCCTAGATACCGTACGTCTGTACCTGTTCGGCAGTGAAATTCTAGGTCGAGAGAAAGCGACGAATCCCAGACTATTTTAACTTCCAAACAAGGAAACAAGAACAGCGATTCCGGAATTTGGATCATGTTGAAAATGACCCCCGCGCCTGGGGGAAGACGCTCTCAAGAGATTAACAAAGTGAAAATCCAAACCCGGCGGTTTTTGCAAGGAATCTGATGGCGGGAAGGAAACGGTAGAGAAGCCATTTCAGCGGACTTTCTATGGATCCGATCGGCTACGTTCCAAACGAGCATTCCCTCAGCTTTCGATTCGACTCGTCGTATCGTAAATTTGTTGAGCTAGCGAAGTTGACATAGGGTTTTACTGGATGCTCGCTCTTGACCTGTGCCGCTTTTTCAGCCATTGTTCGTCGTTAGAGACGAAATAGTACGTAGTGAGGTTAGTGCGTTGGATTTTCCGCGGCAAGCAACTTTGGAGCGAGATGACTAGAGGTATCTAATCTTTATCTTAGTGACTTGCGTCATGGATCAATTTGAAAATGCATTTTACAAAACGAGTCCGCTTTGAATTACCTACCTCTACTTCATGTAATTGTGATTGTGTCAAAACTAGTAAATTCAGCAAATTATGTAATCCTAATTTTATATTGTAAAATTGATCAATTTACCTTAATTGTCTCCAAAATTTATCTAATAAAATATGAAAATTTATATAAATATCTTGTTTGGAAGAGGTATGAGATTGAGAGATTCTCAAATTGAAAATTTAAAAAACTCACAACTCTGTGAAATAATTAACCTACTATTTTACAATCTCACATTCTTTTTTTTCATTTTTCCCAAACTATCACTCTTTTCATGAAAAAAAAAGGACCTCATTGTGTTTTTTAACATTTTTCTCGTTTCATTTTCCCTTTCAAAAAGAAAAACCAGCAATTATGGCTAATCTCTCTCCACCATCTCTTCCTTCTCCACCTAAGATGTATGACATCATCTTATTCCTCATTTTGTATATCTCCCACTCTTCTCGTCGAGTTTGGCGTTATCCTTTCTCGTGTTTTGTTTTGTCTAATCTCGGTTAAGAGACGGTGATATGAACTTAATTAATCTCTATTTTATACAATTAGTCCCTCGTTGGTTGATTCCATAATCCTAATCATGAAATGATCTCCATAGATCTTTACCAAAAAAAAGAAATGATCTCCATAGATATGTAAGGGTGATATGAGAGATTTAGTCCATTACCCTCTGACCTCCACAACCAATCCGACTACAACCACTGGCGAGAATACATGAATCTGGGTGATTTCGAGAAAATCGACGATAATGTGCAATTCTGGATGAATTGCAGATGATTACATTTGAGAAAATCAGCTAGTTTAAATGATCTGATTTCATGAAAATAACTTATTCGATTTGCATCCCCTTCGTTGTCAATTGTAACCCATTCTTCATTCATGATAAATCTTTTATCAAGAATCAAATCCTCGAACCTCGAAGGCATGATTGAAAAACAAAGTTACAAACCACGACATCACAACCTCATAGTTTTAAAATATTTCTTATTGGCAAGACTTGTTTTAATCGTTATATAATTGGACTCAATTTTGTATTCTCAAGTAATGTATTCAAAACGGTTATGTTAGCTTAAAAGTTGGGATAGTTGCCTCCATTGAACACAGTACTCGACACAAGAATTTTGATCCTGAATGGAAAAACAAAGCCCATCTCTCTAACCTTTTCAAAGAAGAAAAACAAATCAAATTCCAAACTAGACCAGGTTAATGAAATGCCATTGCCTCCAAAGTCATAAACATGGATAATAAATGGTACAAACTACAAAGAGTGATATCCTAATCCATCTATAAACACAATTAAATATCCCTAACCTCGGCCAAGAATGAAGTCTCACGTCCTTCTCCTTTTAGGAGCATTCCACATCAGACCCAAACTCCAGCTATTCAAACTGCTACTATCTCCACCGTCACCATTCCCTCCAGTACTCTTGCTTTTCTCGCCAACCTTACGACTGTTGTTTTTCTTCGGAGTTGGAGTTTTGGCAGCCTTGTTCTTCGCCTCAGCCTTAGCCTTAGATTTACTGTTTTTACCTTTGCCTTTGAGTTCTGGAGGAGGAGACTTAGACTTACTGGTGTTACCTTCACCTTTGAGTTCTGGAGGAGGAAGTTGAGGAATGGAACTCACACTGGCAAGGATGGCATCAGTGGTGGGTGGATTGTGCAAGCTAGACATGGTTCCATTCATCACAGGTGCGGCAGCAGCAGCTGAAGTACCAGCACCATTCGCCATGGATGATGGGGGAGGATGAGGAGTAGTAGCAGAACTTGGAGCGTCGACCGGAGCAATATGTGGACCGGTTGGTGCATTTGCCTGCATAAGCTCTGGCACTGGGTTCTGCCCGTGAAGAGAAAAGAGGTTATCATGTAACGTTGGACAAACTAATGTTGCAGTCATTCCATTCATGTTCATTCAGTTCCTCATTCCTTTTATTATGAATCCAATCTATTTACCAATTCGGCTTGATTCTGGACCTGACCGGACCAGACTATTGCCCCATCCCTAATAGCAGCTAGATTGGGTATTCCATTCAAAATGTCATTGACACATCTGCTAAAGAGTGGACTTCTAAGTGACAAGATATTTACTAGATGACCATTTTTGTAGGACGCCATGTGAATTGTGAAAAAAAAGTGCAGCTTACCGCAGTAACAGCAGCAGCAGCAGCAGCAGGGGGCATTGTGGATGGAGGGCTCGGCTGAATCACCAAAGAAGGAAACGGACATCTCGGTGTTAGATATCCAAGCGATGAAATGAAAGATGTTAGATGATTAAATGGAGTTCAAGTTCATCTTACCAAACTAACATTGGCAGGAATAGTGGTAGCAGCAGAATTCCCAAAGCACAAGTTGCATCGCATCAAGTGAAGGGCCTTATGCTTCCATGTTTCCATCGATAGGTTCAGGAAATAGAGTTGAAGCTTCAGTTCCCGTTCTTGAACGTGGGCTAAGGCCGCCTCAGCTGCCTTTGCCCTCGCCTGATAAGCCGCCTTCCTTGCGTAGTCCCATACTTCCCTCAAGTAGCCCGGAGGCCCCTAATCAAAGAACAGAGAAAAAACTACTCAGTCCAGGCAATGACTAACTGTTCTTACCCAAAACTTACCGCTCTAATCACAAACTCTTTACTTCCTGCGACTTCAAATGATATATTATGAGAATGTGTACACTCCAATTAATACGCGTTTTCGACACAATCCTCACATCAATGAAAACAATGTGGTCTCCCTACATTCTCAAAGTATATGTATTCTAATAATCATATTGCCACCAAAAGCAGTATACTGTCATGAATCAAAATAAAAGGGAATGGCTAAGGTATGATTTAGTTACCGTATGGACACCTGCAGGAAGCTCAGCAATGGTTTCCTCCCTTTCCTCACAAATCGGGTAACGGCAATGCTCGCCATTAGCCTTCACTCCATAGTAGTGCTGCGGTATACTGGGAAGTTTAATCTCCTCCCCAGAGTCCAAAACATGAACTGGGATTCCTTCACTATCATAGTAATCCCTTCCGCAACCATCATCTTCCTCATCATCGCGCTGCTCGTTTCTCTCCGGTCTCTCCTCCGTCACCATGGAGGAAACAAAATCTGCAGTCCAAACAAATAAGGGGAAGCAAAAATTCCTCTTTAGCCTGACAGGTACGGAAGGGTTTCTCCTTTTCAGGAGAAATTTGAGATAAAATAGGAATCATAGAAAGATTCTTTCCCTTTTCTATATTCAAATTCCCATTCTGAACAGATAAAGTAGCTAGCTACAAGCCAATACCGACGTCAAGTCGGGAATCTCCGGTGAACGGAGACGAGTTTGGCCTTTTAAAAGAGAAATCATAAGATTCTTCACTTTTCGGTCACCGAATTCTCAATTCCGGTTCGACAAAAGGAAGGAGTACCACAATTGGCCAATCTATTTGAGCAATAACGACGGGAAGTTGAGAATCTCCGGTGAACGACGACCAACTTACCGTACCGGAGACTGGAGAGGTTGGGATCGGGAACCTACCGGTCGCCGCCGACGATAGCTGAAACTGTAAGTGAAGCGAGTGCCGGAGTTGAAAGACTTCAGGAACTTCCTAAGCTCCCCGGCACTGTTTTCCGTCGGCGACCGCCCGAGGAAGCCGCGAACTGGAGTGGTGGAGCAGAATTCAAACTCCTAAGTCCTAACAGAATTACGGGACGAGAAACAGGGCAAGGGAAAAGATTTATGAGAGAGGAGAGAGAAACTTCTCGGCGGTGAAAGAATCGGGCGGGTCGTTACTTATATGGGTTCGGATTGGGCCATCAATGCATTACAAAAAGAAGCCCATGGGCCCATCTGAGTAACTTTCTGAGAAATTAAACTCTTTCCGACCAAAAAAAGAAATTAAACTCTCGCCACGTCATCTGACTCACGCCACGTCAGTTTGCCTGTTTATCCACTTGTCAAGTCTACTAGTGAACGCGGCTCCATCTGTCAAGTCCTCTGTTTGACTTCACACAAAAGCAGAGGAAGAGAGCAGAGACCAGAGAGAGTGCAATAAGGTTATGCTGCTCACAGCATAAAGTGTGAGTAGATACTCACACGGTGGATCTATTGTCCACGAGGGCAAGTTTTAGATGATGCTGGTTTGGGTTGATGAAGGTGAGAGCCGGTTTGGGTCGGCTGGCCAAGCCCATGGCTGGCCAAGCCCACCGGGCCCACAAATTCAAAATTCAAAAATCTCTCCCACTTTCCCCAATTTAGTTTCTCCACCAGAACCCAGAACCATTTTGACTCCCCTCTCTCCCACTTTTCCCCTCTCTCTCACTTTCCTCCTCTCACAAAAACGACGAAGAAGCAAGCGAAGCGGCGGCGAACCAGTGTTGCGGCGGCGAGCAAAGCGGCGGCGAGAATCGGGGGCGACTTTGCAAACGAATCGGCGGCGACGAGCGACGAAGCTTGTGTTGACGGCGGCGACTTTGCAGACGAATCGGCGGCGAAGAAGGGCGGGGTTTCACGCCTACGACTTGATCCGGGTTTTCCTTTTGTGGATTTGTCTTTTGGGTTTAATTATACTTTGTTCATGAATATTCATTTTCGTTTGGACATATTTGAGTTAGGGTTTCATGGCTACGATCGGGTTTTCCATTTGTGGATTTGTCTTTTGGGTTCGTGGGTGAAATATTTATTTTGTGGTATCTTATATGTCACTGGATATGAGTTCGTTCTTCTGTGGATGTTATTTCTGGGTTTTGTGGATTTGCTTTGTGTTCCTTCCGATATTAGTTCTGTTCGGCAAGATATGCATTATGTTCCTTCTGGATATCCGTTGTTTATTGCCTGGGTTCTTGTTTAATGTATCTTGATATTGGTTTTGTTTGAGCATGATATCAGTTATGACTTTCTTGGATAGTTGTTTGATAGGATCTGGGTATTTGTATGTGCAGAGATTTATCAATGGCAAGGACTAAAACAACCAAGAGGAAACAGTCGACCGACTCCACGACAGCCATCACCACCGCCTGTTTTGTGTGCGTTCCGATATGATTTATTTTGATTATGGATATCCATTGTATTTTGCTTGGATTGTTTCTTTGATATATCTGGATATTGGTTTTTACTCAGCATGATATGAGTTCTGACTTGCCTGGATAATTGTTTGATATATATGGATATTGGTTTTTAATCAACATGATATGAGTTCTGAATTGCCTGGATAATTGTTTGATATATCTGGATATTGCTTTTTATCAGCATGATATCATTTGTAACTTGCCTGGATAATTGTTTGATATATTTGAATATTGGTTTTTGATCAGCACGATATCATTTGTGACTTGCCTGGATAATTGTTTGATATATCTGGATATTGGTTTTTGATCATCATGATATCAGTTGTGAATTGCCTGGATAATTGTTTGATGTATCTGGATATTGGTTTTTGGTCAGCATGATATCTGTTGTGATTTCCCTGGATAATTGTTTGATATATCTAGATATTGGTTTTTGGTCAGCATGATATCTGATTTGAATTGCTTGGATAATTGTTTGATATATCTGGATATTGGTTTTTGGTCAGCATGATATCAGTTGTGATTTCCCTAGATAATTGTTTGATATATCTGGATATTGGTTTTTAACCAGCATGATATCTGTTGTGAATTGCTTGGATAATTGTTTGATATATCTGGATATTTGTACGTGCAGGGATAAAACGAACGTGAAGAGACATCGACGAAATCCACCGGCGTCACCACCGCCACAGCCAGAGGAGGATGAGGAAAAAGAAGATGTTGAAGTTGCAGCGCAAGTACGTGCACAAGGAGTAAATACCTTTAGATAGGGTTCAGTTTTCAAATACTGATTTTGTATCCGATTGAAGATGTTAGGAGTAAAGACCTTTGCCGCATGTTGTAGGAACGGGCTATCCTCCATAATAATATAAGGAACCGATTGTTTCCCATTGTAGTCTGACTCAGTCTCCTTGCGTCTTTTTTCAGCCAACAAACTACATTTACAAAGCACGAGAAAGAGTTTAGTGCCCAGACTAATATCCACTCAAACCAATATTAATATCTCAACTAAACAAAGTAATATTTAACAATAGCATATAAATATCCGGACAACGCTGACAAATATCCAACCATAAGGAACACCATCGACGACGAAAACCTACAAACATCCCTGCACAAGACAACTATTAATGACAATGCATAACTGAACGAGTGTAAAAAAAAACTTAAGGGAATTAGGAATTGATATTATGCCAACACATGTCAACAAATATCTGTAAAACCCAGACTAGTATCTCATAATGTCATACCAATATTCGTCCTTTTACAAAAACATATCCTGTCAGGTCATGTCAATATCGGCCCAGATAATTGATCTGGATATTGGTTTTTGGTCAGCATGATATCAGTTGTGATTTCCCTGGATAATTGTTTGATATATCTGGATATTGGTTTTTAACCAGCATGATATCTGTTGTGAATTGCTTGGATAATTGTTTGATATATCTGGATATTGGTTTTTGGTCAGCATGATATCAGTTGTGATTTCCCTGAATAATTGTTTGATATATCTGGATATTGGTTTTTAACCAGCATGATATCTGTTGTGAATTGCTTGGATAATTGTTTGATATATCTGGATATTTGTACGTGCAGGGATAAAACGAACGTGAAGAGACATCGACGAAATCCATCGCCGTCACCACCGCCACAGCCAGAGGAGGATGAGGAAAAAGAAGATGCTGAAGTCGCAGCGCAAGTACGTGCACAAGGAGTAAAGACCTTTAGATAGGGTTCAGTTTTCAAATACTGATTTTGTATCCGATTGAAGATGTTAGGAGTAAAGACCTTTGCCGCATGTTGTAGGAACGGGCTATCCTCCATCATATTATAAGGAACCGATTGTTCCCATTGTAGTCTGACTCAGTCTCCTTGCGTCTTTTTTCAGCCAACAAACTACATTTACAAAGCACGAGAAAGAGTTTAGTGCCCAGACTAATATCCACTCAAACCAATATTAATATCTCAACTAAACAAAGTAATATTTAACAATAGCATATAAATATCCGGACAAAGCTGACAAATATCCAAAATTTAAGTAGACTAATATTAAAGAAAGGCAAAGAAATATTTTGCGTACTTGCTAAAGTGAATGAAAAACAAGTCCAAATCATTTTCAATAAAAGTCGCACTTGTGCATTGCACGACTCGCTGGCTTGCGTAGTCAACATCCCGACTGCGAATTGATCTCTCAACCATAAGAAACACCATCGACGACGAAAACCTACAAACATCCCTGCACAAGACAACTATTAATGACAATGCATAACTGAACGAGTGTAAAAAAAAACTTAAGGGAATTAGGAATTGATATTATGCCAACACATGTCAACAAATATCTGTAAAACCCAGACTAATATCTCATAATCTCATACCAATATTCGTCCTTTTACAAAAACATATCCTGTCAGGTCATGTCAATATCGGCCCAAAAAATTGTTTTATGAGCCTTCGGCCCATGGGCCCTCGGCGGGCAGCCCTTCCTAGGCTGCAAGCCCAGACCCGATTATTTCATCAAAAACCAAGTTTCCCGCCCAAAATTTCGGCCGCCCCAAAAATCTGCCCACCTCTCGCCCAAAATTTCGGGCCGCCCAAAACCCGCCCACTTCCTCCGCCCAAATTCTCGGCTCGCCCAAAAAGTGGGTTTTTTCTCTCTCCTCTCAGCTCATGGGTCAGTGAGTATCTACTCACAAAATACCCTGTGAGCAGTTTAACTTTTTCGGAGAGAGTGAAGCACGGGCACACTCAAACCGAGAATGTCGACCCAAGAGGAACAAGTTCCCGCCGGCGAGCCCTCATCGGAACCGCGCCGGAGAAAGAAACGGAGCGGCGACCCCGCCGCCGTTCCAGAAGGAGACAGGCCGTACAAGAGAATCCACATCCCGGAATTCTGCCTCCCAGCAATTGCCTACCTCAAGCGCGATCTAGGCTTCGTAAACGATCTCCAGATCATCCCTTGGCTCCTCGAACAGATCCGGTTCCCGCCATGCGAAACTCCGGCCTCCGGGAATTTCGTTCCCAGGCCCATGTCCCCGCCAGGCGGCGGGGGTTCGTCGGCTGGGCAGCGGCTTTCGGTGAGAGTGACAGTAGTTCAAGCTTCCACAGTGGTTTTCGATACCCCATCTACTTTAGGTATTAAGCCGAAATCGTTTCAATATCGAAAAGTGCAATGGTTGCGCGGGAGTTGATTGATTGCAAAATGAATTGCAGTTAAGGCGGAGCAACTGATCAACCTTGCTGCTAGTAAAGGATCGCAATTGATTGTGTTTCCAGAAGCATTTGTCGGTGGGTATCCGCGGTTCTTGTTCTCCGATGACTCCGGTACGAAGGAGGTGCCGTTCGGCGATGATGATCGGCTCAAGTATCGCGCCTCGGCCGTTGATTTGTCAGGTAAGGAGACCCATCTTCATTTCCCCTGTTTTGGCTTTAGAATTGAAGTCTTGTTTAATGTCGGGTAGGTGGACCAACTCGAATCAAATGTACAATTTGATCCGGTTTTGCTTAAAAATCAGACTGGATCGAATTAATTCGAATGAATAGGTTAGCAGCGATTATGATTCTCATAACCGGCTCAATGTATAATTTGGTGCCATCTATGCACAGGTTAGGAAAATTATGAATGTTGTTTAGGTCCGGTCACAACGCTTACAAACTTACGCTCAATCTATGCAATTGATAGCTGGTACATTGGTTCGGGTCATCACATCCTGTAAGCAGGCCAGGTCATTGATTACGAGTCACTCGGTTCGAATCATATTCATAGGCATGCAGGTTGGGTCAAGATTGCCTCTAAATTGTATAATTTAGGCCAATGAATCATTTGACAAACAAATTGGGAGCTCCTTTTGCCACTCCCCAGGTCCTGAAGTTGAGAGGCTGTCACAAATGGCTGCAAAATACCAGGTCAATATGGTAATGGGGGTGGTGGAGAGAAGTGGAACAAATCTCTACAGCACAGTAATCTTTTGGGATTCACAAGGCAAGCTTCAAGGCAGCCACAGAAAATCGACCATACTGCACTCAGAATCTCCCCTTTGGTCTCCCGGAGAAACCCCATCAACATCAGCATCAGCATCATCATCCCTTGTTCTCCCGCTCTATGCCACATCATCAGCTGGCAGAATCGGTGGCCTAATCTCATCCGACAACAGGCTGCCACTGTTGAGAAGCATGCTCTACGAGAGAGGTATCCAAATCTACTGCGCTCCCACGGCAGATGCCACCAAGGTATGGAAGGCCTCCATGACCCACATTGCAGTCGAAGGCAGTTGCTTCGTGCTCTCTGCCAACCAGTTCTGTCGACAAAGTGATTATCACCGATACTGTGTAGAGGAGGAGGAGGAGGAGAAAGATGATGCTGTGGTGTCACCTGGGGGTAGCGTCATTGTTTCGCCACGTGGAGAAATCATGGAGGGCCCTCGTTACCATGGGGAATATGTTCTCTCCACTGATCTTGGTATGTATGTGATCATTCATTTTGGTAATTATTTAAATGATCACTAAAATTTTGAGGTCACTGCAATGATCAGTAACCAGACTTTGATTGATAACAAACTTACCACAGAACTTTAAGAATAACTAAGATAATAGTCAGTCTAAATTGTCCAAGACTAGCTTGCTAACTCCATAGACTTGATACTTGAAAAGGTCATGTAGAGTGTAGACTCTAATTAGGTGAACTGAAAGTTCATCAATCAGACTTGTTTGTGTCTCCAAAGCTCAGTGTCGCTTCGCTTTATGTGATTGACATACTCTACATCATCCAATGTGCCCCTCTCTTGTTGTTCATGTTTATTAAATGTCCTGCTCTCTGTCTAATGGTGGCTAAAATGGCAGATTTCGGGGAGATTGATCGTGCCAAGGCGGAATTCGGTAGAGTAGGATCGGTATGGGGCCGAACCATGCTGGTTGGATGACTAAAGCAACAGCTAACAGGGACTCCCTGCAGTCTAAATGAAGGGTAGTAAGTTCAAGAAAAAGGACTTGGAAAGTGGAATGTGGAGAAGAACCTTTAGGTGTAGCTAAAAGGCTGCTTGTACATAGTTTTGTGGGCAGCCACTTTTGGGCCAAATCATGGAAAATATAGCATTCTGCTTCAGAAGTTCACTGTGCATGTTACCAAGCAATCTATGGTACATAGAAATTCAGGTTTGAATCCTTCCTTCCTTACCTAGACTGTTTGCTCGCACATGAATGGTGGAAGAATTAGATTAGGGTTTGAAATAGGACTTGGTTTGTGCTTAAATTGGTCTCCGTTCCCTTGAGGGATCATCCAATCCTATATGGCACTAGTTCGTTCCGAGTTTACGTGTTAAACAAGCTTGCAACTCCATGTACAAACTCGAATAAACTCTTTCCGACTTGCAACACCAACTCTCAACACATGACCAAATACGTGTATTAGAGACCCAATCTGTTCACTAAATTGGAAATTGTCGGCTCGATCTAACCGACGTGTTGATTTTAGTGACATTATAAACGTATTTTGTGGTCATCATATTCACTCGATATGTAATTGTAGTGACATTATAAATGAAATGAATTAAAGTGATTATTAACAAGTAAATTTAATTTTGACCGACCATAAACCAAATGAACCCTAAAAAACATTAACTAACCAACTGGGCCGAAAAATTGTTCTTCAGCTTTATACAATGATTTTCATAATTTATAAACCACAGAAGTAGTACTAAAAATATTATTTAGATATTGGTTTGCAGAAATATCTATCTTTATCTTGAAAAGACAACAGCGTTTTCCCCCCGGCGGGAGTGGCTCCGTCCTCCAAGTTCAGGATACTTACTGCCAGCTGATTCGACGAGTCACTTCGCCGGAGCGACAGCTGAAGAATTAGGGTTCTTCTTAGTTTCATCAAGATTGTAAGTTTCAGCTCGATGATCCCATTTTCTCGTAGAATATGGCGGGAAAGGAGATCGGTAGGATTCTGGCGGGAGTCTCCCAATTGCCAGGTTCTAAAAGCTTTTATACGCCTTCCAGCCATGTCAGTATTTGGTAATGAAGTAAATGTAGTTGAACAGACGATTGCGATTTAGAAGAGTGTTCACATTTCGAATGGCTCTCTCACCGTTTGCGTAACGGTAAAGACATTATCTTGAAACCCAATAGGTCAAACTTCGAAAGGGAAATGAATGGCCAGCTCAGTTTTGGGCGTGGTTTTGACGTTTTGTCGCCATTGATGCTGAACCTCGACGTGGCTTTTCATCCTTTGTCTATAGCCTACGGGGAAGGGAAGAGATAAGAAATTTCGCTAGAGTCTAAATATCATGGCAGAGGAGGATATTTCATCTTACTACGCTTGCCGCTATGGTGGACTTTCCTTTTCCCACCATTTTTGCTCTGCTCGGGAAGATGAGAAGTGGTGCTGGAGCTACACTGTTCATGGGGGCTTCCAGGCTTGCCCTGCTGGCTCTGTTTCTTCTTTTCCAAGGTACAAGCTTTGCTTTCAATGACACAATACATGCTAATGGATCAATCAAGGACGGTAGCTTTGTCATCTCCGAAGGTGGTACCTTCGCTTTGGGGTTTTTCAGCCCTGGCCGATCGAGGTACAGATATCTAGGGATTTGGTATCATAACAAGCCAGGAAAAGCTCCTGTGTGGGTAGCAAACAGGAACAATCCCATCAACGGCACTTCAGGAGTTCTATCAAGCGACGGATATGGTAACCTTCTTCTCTACAGCAGCTTAGATCAAGAGCGCCCAGTGTGGTCTGCAAATGTTTCGAGGGATAAATTTCCTGAGGGGCCATGTGTAGCTCGGTTGTTAGATTCCGGAAATTTAGTTTTGGTCCACCCTACAAGTAGTAGAACTATATTTTGGCAAAGCTTTGATCATCCTACGGACACCTTATTAGCTGGCATGAAGCTGGGTCTGGATAAGGAAACTGGTTTAAACCGCTTCCTGACTTCATGGAGATCACCAGATGACCCTGGAACAGGTGATTTCTCACTTAAGGTAAACCCAAATGGCGCTCCGCAGCTCTTTCTGTATCGTGGTACGGTTCCCCATTGGCGGAGCATTCCATGGGCCTGGCGGATATACCATCAGTTTTTTGACGAATCTTATGTTATTAATGAACAAGAGATACATATCTCATTTCGCGCTCGGGATCCTTCTTCTATCCTGTTTCCTACTATGGACAATTCAGGAACGATGGGGGCGGCGATGTGGGACGAAGTTGATGGCCGGTGGAAAGAGTTTTATACGGTAACCCATCAAAAATGTGATGTCTATGGTTATTGTGGTGCTTATGGAAAGTGTGAACCAAGCAACCCTTTTCTTTCTGAATGTGTTTGTTTACCTGGCTATGAACCTAAGTCCAGAAGTAAGTTGCTTCTAGGAAATGCATTTGGTGGGTGTGTCCGGAAGCGATCAGAATCCTCGTCTTTCTGCAGCCCTGGAGAAGGGTTTGTGAGAGTTGAAAATGTGAAGGTTCCTGATACTTCAGCAGCCGTGTGGGTGGACTTTGGAATGAATGAAGTGAACTGTGAGCACGAATGTAGAAAGAATTGCTCATGCTGTGCATATGCTATGACTAATATCACCGACAAAGGGACTGGTTGTTTGACATGGCATGGAGAACTAATAGATACAGCAAACATGCCAGCCCTTGATCATGCAATCTATGTTCGTGTCGATGCACTTGAACTAGGTAATCAAATCAGGAGGTATTTGATGTTCAAAGACAAGCATGCTTCGTCGTGACTTCCCTAAGTCTCTTTTTTTCTTATCTACTGATGTTATATGTTATTTTTTTATCAGCCGACTATGCACTGCAATCTAGTGGCTTTGGTGAACTTAGGTTGAAGTTAGACGTTCTCATACCATCTGTTGCTTCTGTTTGGCTTGTTGGCATCTTGTTTGCCTATTTGTGGCTTAAGAGGCTGAAGAAGTGGAGGAAGAGCAAAGGTATCCATTGAATTTGTGTTCTTACTCTATCATCTCAGATGGCTTACAGGCATCCTTGCTTCTTATTTTGCAAGGACAGCAAATGAAAGGCGGATCAGAAACATATTTCATCCAGGTGCAGATGGGTCAAATTACTTCCAAGATTCTTTGCTTACCAAGGAGATCGAGCGGAGTGAAATTTACCCAGAACTACCCTTGTTCAACCTTAGCACGATACGAGCTGCTACCAACAATTTTTCCCCTGATAACAAACTTGGCCAAGGGGGTTTTGGCTCAGTGTACAAGGTGATGTCTCCACATAGTGTTTGCAATATCTGAAACCGAACTACACCTCCTTCTTGGACTTATATTGTCCTCTTTGCAATTTCAGGGTCAATTTTCTTCTGGATTAGAGGTTGCTGTAAAAAGATCACCAAACAATTCAAGGCAGGGGCTGGAACAGTTTAAAAGTGAAGTCTTTTCTATTGCAAAACTGCAGCACAGAAACCTTGTAAAGCTCCATGGTTGCTGCATTGAGGAACAAGAGCAAATGTTGGTTTATGAGTACTTGCCCTACAAGAGTTTGGACTCTCTTCTTTTCGGTACGTCATCATTGGATCATGGAATGTCAGAAAGCAAGTTGAACGAATCCTGAATTTTGTTCTTTGCGTCATGCAGTTGATCGGAGTAGAAGCTCTTTCTTAGACTGGGGGAAAAGATTTAATATTGTAGTCGGGGTGGCACGCGGGATCTTATATCTTCATCAGGACTCAAGGTGCAGAATAATCCACAGAGACCTGAAAACTAGCAATGTTTTGCTGGATGCAGAGCTGAACCCCAAAATTTCCGACTTTGGAATGGCTAGAGTATTGGAAGGTGACCAAGTTGAAGGGAAGACGAGCAGAATTGGCGGAACTTAGTATGTTATGTTTTTCTACAACAAGTTTATCTTGCTATTTAAGTTACCTATGTGAAATGTGATATGAAGAAATTGCTTTTACATGTTACCCACATCTGTAGTGGTTACATGTCACCAGAGTATGCATACCTAGGGAGGTTCTCGGTGAAGTCGGACGTCTTCAGTTTTGGAGTGATGTTACTGGAAATTGTGACCGGGGTGAAGATCACTGGGTTTTGTAAGGAGGATCCTGCCTTGAACTTGATTGGCTACGTAAGTTCAGCCTGTTTGCTTGAATTTTGAAGACACCTCAATTCATTACTTTTGAGTATAATATCACTTTGATCGTTCATGGAGAAAATGTTTTCAGGTATGGGACTTATGGAAAGAAGAGAGAGTCATGGAGGTAGTTGATCCATCGTTGAAAGTGTCAACTGGTGCCCTGAGATGCATCCACATCGGGCTTCTGTGCCTCGAGGAAGATCCTGTTGACAGACCTGATATGCAGACAGTGGTTGTCATGTTGAACAGCGAAATGACACCTCTTCCTCTGCCAAAACGTCCTGCATTCATTTATGGGAAGTCCAGAGTTGAAGCAACTGCGGCAGAGTGCTCGAGGAACGAGATTACTTTTTCCAACACCCTTGGTCGCTGATGTCTGGGACAACACACTAATGTATAGTCTTTCTAACCACTTACATCTGACAGATGCAGCATGTTAATCCACTGCAAACGGGAATTAAACTCTGCTAGATTTAATCTTTCGTTGTTTCCCAGTAGCCAAGCCATCGAGTATAGATTCGTAATGTAAGGCTTTCCTTCTATAGTGATCCATTTACGCTTGACCAATTTGCCAAGTTTCAGCTCGCCAAACCTGTTCTTGTGGAGAATATGGCAGGAAAGAGAAGATCGCAAAGAGTCCAGCGGGAAGAAGCCCTTGCCAGCTGGTAAGCTATGTTACGCTTGCCATCTAGTGGTGTTGGTGAGCTTAAGTTGAAGCTAGTCGTGCTCATACCATCTGTTGCTTCAGTTTGGCTTGTCGGCGTCTTGTTTGCCTACTGGTGGATCAAAAGGATTAAGAAATGGAGGAAGAGAAAAGGTATACATCTAACTTTAACTTGCGTTTCTACATTCTATTATTCCAACAGTTGAAAAACACCTTTGCTGCTTATTCTGCGACGACAGCAATTGAGAAGCGGATTAGGAACTTTTTTCAATCGGGTGAAGATGGTTCAAAATACTTTCTATATTCTTCAGTGATTAAGGAGACCAAATGAAGTAAAATTTACCCAGAACTCACATTTTTCAGCCTTAGCACGATTCGAGCTGGTTTATGATTACTTGCCCTTCAAGAGTTTGGACTCTCTTCTTTTCAGTAAGTCGCCATCGTATCATGGAATGCAAGAAAGCAAGTTGGATGAATCCTAAATTTTGTTTTCTGGATCATGTAGTTGATAGGACTAGGAGCCCTCTCTTGGACTGGGAGCAAATGATTTAATGTTGCAGTTGGGGTTGCACGGGGTATCTTGTATCTTCATCAGGACTAAAGATGCAGAATAATCCACGGAGACCTGAAAACCAGCAATGTTCTTCTGGATGCAGAGCCGAAGCCAAAAATTTCCGATTTTGGAATAACTAAAGTATTGGAAGGTGGCCAAGTTCAAGGGAAGACGAGTAGAATTGGCGGAACTTAGCATGTTGTGTTTTTCTAGAGAAAATGTTTTCAGGTATGGGAGTTATGGAAAGAAGAGAGAGTCGTTGAGGTAGTTGATCCGTCGTTGGAAGTGTCAAATGGCGCCCTGAGATGCATCCACATCGGGCTGCTGTGCCTCGAGGAAGATCCTGTTGACAGACCTGATATGCAGGCAGTGGTTGTCATGTTGAACAGCGAAATGACTCCTATTATTCCCCTGCCAAAACATGCTGCATTTGTTTATGGGAAGTCCAGAGTTAAAGCAACTGCGGCAGAGTGCTCGAGGAACGAGATGACCTTTTCCGATACCCTTGATTGCTGATACCTGGGACAACACACTAATGTATAGTCTTTCCGCATGTTAATCCGCTGCAACCGGGAATTGAACTCTATGAGATCTTATCTTTCATTGTTCCCCAAGAGCTAAGTGGCCGACCCATCGACTATTGATTCGTAATGTAAGGCTTTACTTTTCAATTGAGCAAGAAGGAGTAGTCCCATCAATGGCGCTGTGTGATTTCTATTGAGTGACAGATATGACAACGGTTTTCGGTACAGCGGCCTATATCACGATTCACTGAATCTCCTAGTATGGCCTGCCAATGCTTCGACTTTCGAGGGTGTTCTTGGAGGGGCCTTGTTTTGCTTGGTTACTAGATTCAGGAAATGTGGTGAACTTCGACAGCAGATCGCTCCTACTTTTAGCAATTCACATTAGATCACTGTTGTCTTCAGCCACTCCCTTCCTAAATTGCTGAACAGTGCAACTATCTAGCCAACCTATTTGTATTGAGAATTTTTGTCTTTTATTGTGTGAAGTTTTTTAACAACTGGCAAAAATTTCTCTTAGACGACGACCACCCGATGCATGAAAATAACGTCACGTACCGCAGCCCATTAATTACACAACCACCTCAATTATTCGGGGTGGTGTTCCCTGTTCTGGCGCCATTGACGCGGACAGCTCGAACGCCGCCTTTCAACCTCAGTCTATATCAAAGCTACGAGGGAAAGAAGGAAGATAATTCGCATGCACAGAAGATTTCTTTGACATTTCAAACGTCTGATGCTGATGGAGGCCAAACATCAGGGAAAGTGGCGATATTTCATATCGTCTTAAGCTTACTGCTAAGGTGGGCTCTTCCTTCTCCATAATTTTTGCTCTGCTTGGAAAGAAGAAAAATAGTGTTGGAGCTAATATTTCCATGGATGATGATGATGCTACCAAGCTTGTACTGTTTTCTCTGCTTCTTCTCTTCCAATGCCAAACCCTTGCTTTCAGTGACACTATACAGGCCAATGGGTCACTCAAGGATGGGAGCTTGGTCATGTCCAAAGGGGATAAGTTCGCTTTAGGGTTTTTCAGCCCTGGTCGTTCGAGCTACAGATACCTAGGGATTTGGTATCATAACAAGCCAGGACAAGCTCCTGTGTGGGTAGCAAACAGGAATTCTCCCATCAATGGCAATTCAGGAGTTCTATACAGCAACCTTTTTCTGTACAGCAGCATAGATCAAGAGCTCCCAGTATGGTCTGCTAACATTTCGAGGGTGTTTTCGGAGCGGCCTTGTTTTGCTCAGTTGTTGGATTCAGGAAATTTGGTGTTGGTCCAAGGTACAAGTAACAGAACAATTGTGTGGCAAAGCTTTGATCATCCTACAGACACCTTGTTAGCTGGCATGAAAATGGGTCTGGATAGGGAAACAGGTTTCAATCGCATTGGGACTTCATGGAGATCAGCAGATGACCCTGGAACAGGTGATTTCTCATATAAGATCAACCCAAATGGCTCCCCACAATTCTTCATTTACCACAGGGGTAGAATTCCAAATTGGCGGACCTTGCCATGGCCCTGGCGCATAGACCATCCGTTATACAGCGATTCTTTTGTTAATAATGACGAGGGGATACATTACTCATTTATCCCGAGTGATCCTTCTATTGTCATGATGTGGAGGATTGACAGTTCTGGAACAATGATGGCGGTCACCTGGGACGAAGTTGATGGTCGATGGAAGGAGTTCTATACGGTAACACTTCGGAAATGTAATGCCTATGGTCATTGTGGCGCTTATGCAAAGTGTGAGCCTAGCAGTCCTTATCTTTCCGAATGTGTTTGTTTACCTGGTTATGAACCAAGTTCTCCAAGCAGGCTGCTCCTTGGAGATTCATATGGTGGGTGTGTCAGGAAGCGATTGAAATCCTCTTCTTTCTGTGAGCCCGGGGAGGGGTTTGTGAGAGTGGCAAATGTGAAGGTTCCTGATACTTCAGCAGCTGTGTGGGTGGGCATGGGATTGAATGAAGTGAACTGTGAGCACGAATGTAGAAAGAATTGCTCCTGCAGTGCATATGCAACGCCTAATATTGTTGGGAAAGGGACTGGTTGTTTGACATGGAACGGGGAACTAATTGATACAGTTAACCTCCCAGCCCCTGATATCGCAATCTATGTTCGTGTCGATGCAAATGAACTAGGTGATCAACTAATCAAGATTTGTTGAGTTTTCGGAGACAGGCATGAGTCCTTTGTGTCTTCAGTTTTTCTTTTTACTCATCCATTGATTGTTTTCTCTTTTTGATCAGTTCCACTGCAATCTAGTGGATATCATGAGCTTAAGTTGCAGCTAGACGTGCTGATACCATCTGTTGCTTCAGCTTGGCTTGTTGGTGTCTTGTTTGCTTACTCTTGGATCAGGAGGATCAAGAAGTGGAGGAAGAGAAAAGGTATACATCTAACTTTAACTTGTGTTTCTACATTCTTTTATTCCAACAGTTGAAAAGCATCTTTGCTGCTTATTCTGCAACGAACAGCAAATGAGAAGCGGATTAGGAACTTTTTTCAATCGGGTGAAGATGGTTCAAAATACTTCCCAGATTCTTCAGTGATCAAGGAGACCGAACGAAGTAGAATTTACCCAGAACTCCCATTTTTCAGCATTAGCACGATTCATGCTGCTACCAACAATTTTTCCCCTCGTAACAAACTGGGACAAGGGGGTTTTGGTTCAGTGTACAAGGTGAAGTGTCCACGTAACAGTTCACAATATCTGAAAAACTGGATTGTGCCGCACTCTTGCACTTAATTTCTCCTCTATGCGATTTCAGGGGAAATTAAATTCTGGAGAAGAGGTTGCTGTAAAAAGATCACCAAAGAATTCAAGGCAGGGGCTGGAACAATTTAAAAGTGAAGTCTTTTTGATTGCGAAATTACAGCACAGGAACCTTGTGAAGCTCCATGGCTGCTGCATTGAGGAACAAGAGCAAATGTTGGTTTATGAGTACCTTCCCTACAAGAGTTTGGACTCTCTTCTTTTCAGTAAGTCATCATCTTATCATGGAATGCCAGAAAGCAAGTTGGATGAATCCTAAATTTTGTTTTCTGGGTCATGTAGTTGATAAGACAAGGAGCCATTTCTTAGACTGGAGCAAACGATTTAATATTATAGTTGGGGTTGCTCGCGGGATTTTGTATCTTCATCAAGACTCAAGGTGCAGAATAATCCACGGCGATCTGAAAACCAGCAACGTTCTTCTGGATGCAGAGCTGAACCCAAAAATTTCCGATTTTGGAATGGCTAGAGTATTGGAAGGTGACCAAGTTGAAGGGAGGACGAGAAGAATTGGCGGAACTTAGTATGTTGTGTTTTTCTAGAACAAGTTATCTTGTCATTTAAGTTACCTATCTGAAATGCGATCTGAAGAAATTGTTTTCCATGTTGTCCCCATCTGCAGTGGTTACATGTCACCAGAGTACGCATACCTAGGGAAGTTCTCGGTGAAATCCGACGTCTTCAGTTTTGGAGTGATGTTGCTCGAAATTGTGACCGGGGTGAAGATCACCGGGTTTTCTCAGGTGGATCCTGCCTTGAACTTGATTGGATACGTAAGTTCGGTCTGGTTGCTTCAATTTTTAAGACACCTGAATTCAGTCCTTTGAGTATAATATCACTTTGCGGGTTCATGGAGAGAAACTGTTTTCAGGTATGGGAGTTATGGAAAGAACAGAGAGTCATGGAGGTAGTTGATCCGGCATTGGAAGTGTCAAATGGCGCCCTGAGATGCATCCACATCGGGCTGCTCTGCCTCGAGAAAGATCCTGTTGACAGACCTGATATGCAGGCAGTGGTTGTAATGTTGAACAGCCAAATGACACCTCTTCCTCTGCCAAAACATCCTGCATTCGTTTATGAGAAGTTCCGAGTCGAAGCAACTGCAGGAGAGTGCTCGAGGAACGAGATAACCTTTTCTGACACCCTTGGTCGCTGATGTTTAGGACGGTACACTAATGTATAAAGTCCTTCTAACAACTCACATCCGAGAAATGCAGCATGTTAATCCGCTGCAACTGGGAATGAAACTCTATGAGATCTAATCTTTCGTTGTTTCCCAGTAGCTTAGTGGCAGGGATACACTGCATCGCTACCACTGCCTGACCTAATTCTGCGACATAGAATTTGCGCATTCAAGCTTCAGCAATCACTCCGACAAACAAAAGGAGATTTCTCAGACTTCATAATAGCAGCAACATGACCGCTACCAATTACAACGATTGCTCGGGCAGCACCTGGACCACTAATTAGAGGTACAACGCAGCCAGAACTCCATAACACCACCTCCTGGCCAGTCATCCTCCTCCATGCTCACTGCTGCTAAAGAAACTCGAACGCCATCTTCTGTAGAAAAAAAGGCAAGAAAAGGTACCACATATCATCGACAAACCAACCAGTTATGATATATTGCACACATTTAATTCATGTCATTTCAATCCACACTTGCACCTCTTTTACATCTCTACTATTTTTCCCGTCAATAGACTTGCTAATGATCACTCCTGCTGCTGCTTTTGACAGAGGGAAAGCCATTCTCACTCAATCCAGAGTTAGCTGTGAACATATATGACGATAGAATCGGGCTCCATGTCAAGCTTCCCATCCCACAAGCCTCTCGAAATACAACTGAATGGGATAGGGAAGCGGAAAAAACAAAACAAACCCACCAAAAGTTGCCTTACAACCCACGTTTCTTTCCTCTCTTCCACCAAAAGAAAGAGCAGAAGAAAACAGAGGAAAAAAGGAAAAAGACCAAACAACTCTTCAAAAATAGAGAACCCTGGTTCTTCCTCCATGCTGCTCTTTTTCTCTCTTAAAATTTAAAACCTTCTCCTTTCCTTTCTGCCTTCCACTTTTCCTCAATGGCTGCTCAGCCTTCCTCATATCCCCCCTCGATCCATCTACCTTTCTTCCTCCCTAACTTCCTCATCATAGCCTTTTTCCTCTTTGCCTCTCTCTTTCTCCATCTTTATCTCTTTAGGTTATCAGCAGTTCAATTTCCATCCAATTCCGCCCGCCTTTCCCCTGCCTTTTTGTTTAATCATTCCGTCTATTTTCTTCTCTCTTATTTAATATAACTCTGATATGACCACTCACCAAACCCGTCCTTTCAGCAACATTCCTTCTCTTCTCCTGCTTCGTCTTTTAGCCGTCGTCCCTTTTCATCTCCTTTTCCTCCCTTCATCTTCCCTTACCCTTTCCTGCTGATTCACTGTAACTCTCCCCCTTTCGTTGCTTGCACAATTGGCCTGCTTTCCTCTGGTTCTAATGGTTGTTTGAATTCAGTAAATTTCTCTTCTTTTTTCTAATGGAAAACAACGTTGCGTGTGGAGTTGGTATGGAGGAAGATCAAATGGATTTGCCACCAGGGTTTCGCTTCCACCCAACTGATGAAGAGCTCATCTCACACTATCTCTACAACAAGGTTCTAGACATCAACTTCTCTTGCAGAGCAATCGGCGATGTCGATTTGAACAAGTCCGAGCCCTGGGAATTACCTTGTAAGTTTTTCACCAAACCTCTGATTGTATACTCAAGAAATTTGGCGAACAGAATGATGATCCGATTCTGCTCCCCTGACTTTCTCCACCTCCGATTGTTTCTTTCTTGTGTATGTTCCTTTGGTATATTGGATGATGCAGGGAAAGCAAAAATGGGAGAGAAAGAGTGGTATTTCTTCTGCGTGAGGGACAGGAAGTACCCAACAGGGCTAAGGACCAACAGAGCAACGGAAGCTGGGTACTGGAAGGCAACTGGTAAAGACAGGGAGATTTACAGAGATAAATCCCTCGTCGGGATGAAGAAAACCCTCGTCTTCTACAAAGGCAGGGCACCCAAAGGAGAAAAAACCAGTTGGGTTATGCACGAGTACCGATTGGACGGGAAATTCTCTATCCACAACCTCCCCAAATCGGCCAAGGTACACAAATAATGCAATAGAAGAAAATCTCTCCCGCCTTCCCCTGTTTTTCATTTCCTCTGTTTTACTCAATCTCCTCTGTTTTTCGGCAGAACGAGTGGGTGATTTGCAGGGTGTTCCAGAAGGCCTGCGGCGGGAAGAAAACCCACATCTCCGGGATTTTCCGATTCGCCGAACTGGGTCCTTCCTCTCTGTTACCGCCGTTGATGGAGTCGCCGTCAGCTTACAGCAGTGATCAGAAAACCGAGCCAGCCGGGGCCGAATCTTTTTCGGCTTACGTGCCCTGCTTCTCCAATCCCAAAACCAATAACAACGACAGACCAGTTGTTACCAACAATGAGATTCCATCGAATCCGATTCCTTCTTCCCCGTTTCCACTCTACTCAGCTCATTACAATCCCCACTTCTCCCCTTCCAGTTTTCAGTTCTCTTCCACCCTGATGCAGCAGGACGACAACTCGATTCTTCGAGCTCTGTTGGAGAAACAGGGAGGAGCATTTCATCTGAAGCAGGATTTCAGAGCTGCTGACAATGGGGAGACGATCAGTGCTTCTCAAGAGATGACGACGGGGATGAATCCTCTCGACTGTTTTTGGAACTATTGATAATCGTCAAAAAGGAAATCGAGTCCTGTGCTTGGTGCGGTAGCTAGCTGGGTAGCCAGCCAACCAACCCACCAACCCACCCAGCAAACCATCACTCTGAAGAATAGGGAGAATGGAAGCTTGAATGTAGTAGTTCATAATCAGTGGTTAGTTTACTATTTTGTTGTTTTGTTCTTATCATTATCCTCCTTTTGTCATTTACTATGATTGTGATTACTGTTCTCGTTAGACCCTGATAAAGATTTACGTCAAGGAAGAAGGAAAAAAAGGTGGAGGGAATGGAAAAGAATTAGTGTGAGCGATACAATGTGTTTCTCAAAATCTCTCTTCTGCTTAAATAACTTGAGCAGAACTTGTCACATTTTATATATGGGTTGACAACTGGAACTGAACTCTACAGAATCTAATTTCCAATACGACGCTTAACTGATTAGTCCCAGCTTCGAACCCTACTTGAGGAAATTCGAGAAGTACGCGTTACGCTTTTATAGCGACTTAAAGAGTACAATAGAACCATTTAAACCGTCATAGGTTTGCTGATAGCACGAGCAAGAAATACTATACTTCTCAACATACAAATATTTTCGACTATTACACTGCATAGGAATATACACTAATGTTACATAGAGTTACGAAAAGGAAGAGCAGAAACCCGAAACACAAGGAGGAAAAAAACGTCTACAGGTGGAAGAGAATAACCATGTAAACTATGGCGCTACGAAACAGGAGCTAATATACAAAGAATGTGCTGGCTCTCTAAGTCAGGGGTTGAAGGGTTTCTATGATCTAATAAAGTGCTCGGGGTATTTCTGCTGCTTCTTTAAATCGGCCAAAGATATACAGTAAGAATGGTGATACCAATTCTGGAGCTTTATGATGAACTCGTTGATGTGACAGTAGATGAAGAAGAGACCGAAGGATGGTCGAAAGAAGTCTCTGTTGGTGGTGGCTCGTCGAGGTTGAGCATTGGTCTTAGTCTTCTCTCGACCTCATTGCTTTGCAAGTTAATCTCCTCGAGAAGCATTGACAGAGCGTACTTGCACGATTCTTCGTCCCGGAATGCTAGAGTCCATCTGCCGTCGACCAAAGCTTTCGGCTTTGCCTTTCGGGGAGTCCCAAGGCCAGCTGGTCTGCCGGAATCGACGAAGGGTAAAGTGGATGGACGTATTCGCAGGTGTAACCATTTGGAGTGCTTCTCGTCGATTCTTGGCTGGAGAGTTGAAAAGGAGGGAATAGCTAGTAATTATCCAGAGTTGTAATGCGTAAGAGGGAAATTTCTTACATGGAACGCCTAAAATCGTAATAAATAGTAATATATTGCAAAGTAAAATTTTAACTTCAGAAGATTTTTTCACAAATAGTAAGATCTTAAGGACCACAATTTTTCAGTAACATCATACAAAGCTTATCCCTCTGGAATCATTCAATCCTAAGATATTAAGATAACTAAACTGGGATTTTGATAACATTAATCTATAGCATGAAAGGAGGAAAGGAGTTGCAGAGATTATGCGTACCCTCGAGCCCGCCAAAGGAGCTGTGACACGGACAACTCCATACTGCTGCTTTTGAGGGATCTCTTCCAAGAGGAGAATCCACCCAGACGTACCAAAAGATACCGCTAGAAAGGAGAAATGGCGTTCTTTACCCCTCTCAAATGCGATCCTACAAGGCACCGTATCAACTGCAGACAGCAGTTTTAAAAAAAGAAAAAAGAGTGAAATTATGTTCAGGCACCGAATCGACCTAAAAAATGAAGAAAAGGAAAATTACCAAGTAGTAACTCTGTTCCAGGTTTAGGAAGAGAACCAGCAATGCCAGCAGTCCTAGCACGAGAAGCTCCAGGTGTATCGGCTGGAGGATAAATGGGAGGCTGCTCAGGCAAAGCCCTACCGAGGCAGAAAATTTGAAGTTGATGAAGAAGCACAAACACCTATGACACCAAAATGAACAGCATCAGAAACTAGTATGAGTACAGATCAAGGAGCTTCAATATTAAAAACCTAGCTCTATAATCAGTATATTAAGATTCCATTTTTCCTCCCAAACTAACCCTCAATATCAGCAGTGGGGAACAAATGGAGACGAAAAAATTGCAAATTGAGAAGAGAAATCACTAACCTTAACTCGTTCACACATTTTTTCTCCATAGGAGACTGAGGAATCATTACGAACATCTACAAAAGAAACAATGTTTAGTGTCTATGGGAAATCGCTGTACATACAGAAGTGAACATTGATTTTTTGACTACTTACCATCAGAAGATGATTTCTGGAGAGGCAACAGAATGCACTTTGGCTCCTTCCTGGGAGAGGAAGCTTCAATTGCTGTAAGCAGAACAGAGCGCTTGAGCAACACACATAATATCATTACAAGAGATATACTATATCTAACATTAAAAGTTTAAGGAGTACCTCTCTTGCATTTTTTCCATTCGTCACTCAATACTGTTACAAGTAGATCTGGCCAGATACCCCTAGTCTCTCTCACAAGAGCATTACAACAATCCGTGTACGAATCCTGAGAAGAAGAAAAAAATATTACAGACAAGGACAACCAAGTTAACTAGGAGGAAACATTGACACCCGCAACCTTGAACAAAAAGCAATACTTATTGCAATGAAGGGTTAATGACAAAGTTCCATATACATATGGTTTCCAGTGATAATAACTTACTCTAAGCAATCTAAGATGCTGACTGTTGAATTCCGCCTCACTGTAAGGAAGTAGTTGACGCAAAAGCCAACCACCATCCCATAGTATCTCGGCAAGAATACCTGGCCGGCAGAAAAGGCTCACCAATGCATCCAAAACCTACAAGACATTGGATCATGATACTAATTAAGTTCCTACAATAATAAATTAAAAGACAACTAGAAATATGTTAAGTTTCATATTTCCCTTCTCCAAATTCTAGCTAACCAAACCAAGAGACAAACAGGTAGCATTCCATTTACTAGCTCATTAAGTCCCAATAAAAGGCACCAAACAAAGATTCACCTGAAATCTATGTGTGCGAGAGCTTGTCCCCAACTCTGAGGAAGAACATACTACTCCATAGTCTTCCTGACAATCATAATTACAAACGTATAACTTAAATCCAAAAAGAACATTCTTCCATCTCTTTTTAGTCCCAACAACATGGATTGATACTTATAAGGAATGGATTACCATGTCAAAATATCTGATTAGGGGAAAAAGATATAACCACCAAAGGAGGACAGTATATCAGAAGGGTGCTATAGTATTATGCTTATATTTTCTATTTTCTGTTGCTCGTAACTGAGGAATCAAGAATCACAGAAATTACCTTCAGCTTTTGCAGGTAGCCACCAACCTCATTGCTAGCCCCATCTTTGGTAGAGCAGCTCTCTGATGAGAAGAGTTGCTCTTCGCCTAAACCTTCACCAACCAATGCTTGCTGAAAGAAGAAAGACAAGTTGTCATGTTTTGCAAACCTGATTGCACTCTACTCAAGCTATAACTTTAGAAGGAAACATAAAAAAGAAAATTGGTAGTTGAGCTCTCTGTAACCCACAAGGAAGTTATGGAAAAAAATACTTGAGGGGAAAAAGTCATTACTTTTTCCAGAAATAACCGACGCCCTACTTAAATAGGCCTTCCTTTGCATCACAGAAGCTAACCAATATTAATCAAAATTTTATTCTGAAATCGAGGTTACCACAGTTAACCAGACACTACTTACCAACAAGAGTTTCTTATGTTGCTTTCGCTGGGGTAGAATGCCAAGAGCATCAAGCATTGCTTCATCTAACTCTGTAACAGGTGTAAGTTACCAGCAAGATAACGGTAAAGGAACAAGGTCACCAGAAGCTCAATAGAAAAGAACGAACCTTTTGTTTGTAATAATGTGGCAAGCATATTCAATGAACCCAGAACCTGTTGGCTGTTTCCGCTTACAACATAAGATAGCAGAACATCCCTACAAATGCCACAGAAGTCTTAAAGAGATGGGACAAAGGGACTCATTATGTGAATCTTCAATAAGAATTGAGTTTCAAAAAACCACAGTCAATGACCCTCTTAGATCCAAAACAAGTAATAGACGTGTGCTTGAAATAAAGAATCTGCCCATGTTCTTCCCTCTTGAATGATACACTAACTAGTTAACTGGAGTTAATCATAAGGACTGCCATTAGAGAAATCCTATTGGGAAAAAATCAACATGATAGAAGAACCATAATCAATCTTTACCTGAGACCATGCAGCGACATAGTGCTACTGACTTGCTTGGTAAGATCTTCAGGATAAACTTGTGAAAAATTTGACAACTCTGCAGTTACTCCTACTTGTTCATCAACTGTGGTATTATTGTTTTCCAACTGGTGGTGGCTCTCGTGACAGTTTCCATTAGTCACATGAACTTTGACTTTAGCTTCTACAAACGGAAGAAAAGCCTCCAACGGACAAAACAGAGCAGCAGCAATGGCATTTGCCAAATCTTTCATTTTGACAATGCGCAAGATGCAGCAGAGCAGATACAGAGAAGTAACAGGAGCAATAGGGGATTCCTGGATTTAGAAGCTATCAAAAGTTAAGTAAGAACAAGTAATGCCATTAACCTGAATGTAGATTAAAGAAAATGCTAACATACTTTGAAGCTAATAAAAATCACCAGCAAACGAAAGCATGCAAAGGACAGAGATCTTTACATTAACAGCATCTAACCGCAAAGACGGAAGAAGCAAAGGAAGTATCAAAAGTTGCATAATGTTGTCAGTTATCAACCTCCCAACATCAGGAATGCCAGCAGATATAACATCACTAAAGTAGTATAGGTTGTCCTCAATTTCATCAACAGCAGCAAGAATTGCCGTCGTTCTGTCTGGCTCTGTTTTTCTGTCTCAACCATCAAAAAACAACATTTAGGAGTGGAACACAATTTGCTTTAATAAAAACAACAAGACTGAAACAAGAAAAAGCTCTTACTGTGGATTTTCAGACACCAGTCCATTTAAATCAATGCACTGCTTACGGAAAAATGATATTAAATCTGAAAAGTAACCATCATATGGGGTTTTGCTCACGAATCTATTCACAGGACCATCTCCAACTGAAACAAAGATTATAGAGTTTGAGGTTGCTTGAACAAAAGCCAACCATTAAGACATGTTATTGGGAAAAGATACACAATTTACTCACCATGGTAGATGTTAAGTGTCAAGGCTCGTACTGCAGTGCGGATCATACTCTCTTCATGGAAAGCATACCGGATGGCCTCAACATATAGAGGAAAAGAAACAATGTTCTCCTACAAAGATACAAGTTGAAACCAAATGTCAACATGGCATTACAACAGCTAGACAGAAAATTATGCATCCCCTCTCTTTAGTGGGCGGGCCATAGGGAAGAGATGAAAGGATTCATTTCGGAAAGCAACCATGGATTACTGGGATAAAAGCTACAACTAAACAACAGCTCAAACATCTAAAACTGATGGATAGCTGAATAAAATAATGCTGCTGAAGATTTATCAAGGAGCAACTTGTACAATAATGCTAGTGGCACATAAATTGAGTTCATAGATCTTATTATCATAGCAGTAATCAACACCAACAATAGCAAAATAAAAGGTCTTACACTACATCAACAACTAACTCTGTCAAAAATCGAAAGGGGCAAACAATGCAGCTGGCTGTAACTGTGGAAAGAAAAAGGCAAATTGTACTATAATAACAATGTAGGAAAGACAAACAAAACCTACATTCTGAGTCTTGACTAGGAGAGAAATTGTATTCTTATTGAGCTTTCCACTTATTGCTCTGCATATATGAGAAACAAGCCAACCAAACTCTAATATCAATGTAACTGCGAGTCATAAGTGCTGAGTTGAGAAAAACACAGATCTAAAGCCATACTGAGCAATAAAACTAAATAAATATGATGACACATTTACCTTAAAAAGGACATGTAATAAGACAGTAGCTCTTCATTCCGGAAGTCAAACTTGTAAGTAATTAAGAAGTTAATATATTCATTACTGAACATATAGTCTGCAAAAACTTCCAGAGGTAAGTTGATTAATAATTCCAGATTGTTTGGAACTCTATTACTAATAAGCTGAACAATTTCAGTGTTTTTTTAATCAACAGAAAAACATACATATGGCATGCTCTGTTCTTAGGTTCTGGATCATAATGCTCATTGTCTGCAGTATCTGAAGTGAAATGATCATAGATTTGCTAATCTGCAGCATTCTTACGAACTCCCCCATGACTTGCTTCTCCATAAAAAATCTGCGGCAAATAATGCAAGTATAAGAAAGTGCGGCTTGCAAAGCTCGAGTCATGTTGGCATGCTCTATTAAACATTTACAGTAATGTTGTTTAGGGAGAAATCTCACTCAAAAAAGCTCGAGTTATGTTGGTCGCCATAAGTTATCAACTCGGCTATTGATCTCAACGCCTCAACAACAAAATCCTATGTTAAATACAAACACAAGGATGAGTTACGAAAACCAAGAAACAAATGTACATAAAAAGGCCAATTAGCTAGGTCACAAAATAATAATATTATTATTCAGGAAAGAGAAAATCCATCTCCCACCTTATTGGCCTCATTTACAGTTCCCACTTTCTGCAGTTGATCTGTTAAATACCTGCAGATAAGTGGCGCGTAAGCAGCATAAAGAATTCCATCTACCGGAAACTAATATAATGTTAAGGTAGAAAGGCCCAAATCCGCAAACTGAATTCCTAATTTTCTATACACTATACATATTAGACATGAGCATTAACCCCCCCACCCTCCACATATCAAGATTAAAGTGGTCCTTCATGGCCTAAGAGATCAAACTTAATTCCTTAACATGTCAGATCCCTTTCCATCACCGAAACTATGCTAGGACACCACTTCAAAGGAAAGTGCAACATCTGAACACTACTTTAACATTTCAAGAAACGGCAGTACTGTTGAAGAACTAATCACGGCAATTCAAAAGTCCTAACATGATCTTCGAAACATGCCTTCATTTTATGGTAAACAAAACTGCTCATGCTCAAATCGTCAGCCTTACGAAAGATCAAAGCATCTAATGACCTTTTTCGTGACAATGCCTGACATTCCCAGGAATCCAACGATCTGCTCTAAATCGAATCCACTAATATGATTTGATTAGTCTATGATTACACATTCATTGTCGACAACTGCTATAGAATCCGTGTTCAACGTATTAAAACAACTGCAAAAGAGGCTGACAGGCCTCTGTCAGTAAAAGCCATTAACTAGGCTGCAAGACCATAGAACTTGAGCTAAACTTAATCCAACTAGACAGAAACAGCACCATTCTCATTAAGACTTCTCTTAATGATAGTGACCAGCAAATTCCACTCTCAAGTCTCATCAGAAAGAGGTAAAACACACAGCCAATGCATCTCCATGGCAGTACTTCGAATTCTATTCGCAATGCAGCTACTCGTGAATTGGAACCAGTACAAACCGACAACCAACTAACTGGCAAGCGAATTACAGCCTGAGCCCCAACTCCTAAACTAGAAAGAACACATCGGACGCCATTAGCCACTGTTTAAGTCGAGTGAGGACTTCTACTGCCAGGCAATCAATGACTAGAACTCAAAAACCCTCTCCAACCAACACTAAACCAAAAACCCCTCTCCATCAAATTAGTAAAACCGACTAGCAGCAGCAGCAAAGAACGGTTCGCTACACACCAAAATCGCCACCGAAGGAATGTACAAAGAGCGAGTGGAGAAAAAGAGAGGGAAGGAGACCTGAGCTCGTCCAAAGAGAATCGATCTCTGGATCTCCAGAAGGAAAACCACATGATTGGTCCCCTCAAAGAGAGAGAGAATCAGACCTCGAGAGTCGGCGTCGGCGCGTCGAGCAACGCGGGCGGGTTAGAATTCATCATCCACCCGAAGCAGAAATTATGAACAGGAGAATCAGAAGCTGTGTGATTGCAGTAATGGCGCCACTGGCTGGGAAGGTTTGAGGGAAGCAGAGGTGACGGGTTTTAGGGATCGGTGCGAAGCTTGGAGAGAAGAGAAACCTGGAGAAGACAGCTCCTGAAAAAGTAATGGAAAGAAAAAAAGGAAAACGGATTTCGTTCTTTTTCTTCGCAGGAGGAGACAGCCTGAAAAAAGATTAAAATTAATTATTTTGGCTGACGCGATTCGGCGAAGTGATAGAGAGTAAGAGAAGAGGAGCGAGAGGAACATTTTTGGGTGGTTTGGAAGTTGCAAATTGCAATAGTTAAATATATGTATTGTTATAAAGGTATGTATATATATGTATTGTCAAATTTGATATATTGTAAAATACAATATTTAGTATGTGTGATAGTATATGTCACTGAAAAACGATCCGGCCCATCTAACCCACGCTTCGTGTCCAAAAAGCGTCAACACATTTCGAAAGAACCAACTAGTTCTGACCTCTGGGTTGGAGTGGCATTGTACAGTGGTTTTTTAATACATTTTTACGATGGATTAATTATCGACCACATTCACATTTCCAATATTACTTTCTCACTCTGTGATTTGCAAGCCCGTAGAACTAGAGGTGGGTATTTGGTCGATTTGGTTCAAACCGAATGAACCGAACTGAAATAATGCATATCGGGCCCCGAATTTCATTAATTTCAAAACGAATTCTAATCGAATTATAATTCGGTTCGTTCAGTTCAAATCAAATTATAGTTTGGTTCGGTTAGGTTTTTCATACAAAACCGAACTTGTGATGTTAGCTTGTATCTTATCTCTTTTAAATTATTTTTCACCCCTAATGTAAACAATAAATATGCAATTATATGCATTATCAATGATAAAATCAAACATTTCAACACATAATAAGTCATAACACACTAACATGATTCACATATTTAAGTCTCATAATAAGTACAAACATAAAAATTCATCATTTGGAGCTTGCAATTATAGTAATTCGGTTATTCGGTTCGGAATTCGAAAATTCGGTTCGGTCAAAAGGATCCTAGTTTGCAAAATATGTCATTTTCCTACCGAATTCGGAACCGAATAACATTAATTCGGTTTCCGTTCGATTTTGGTTCAGTTTGGTTTTACCGAACCGTATGCCCACCTAGGGGTGATAAACGGTTAGTCGGTTATCGGTTTTAACCGATAACCGAACCGATAAAGTCGGTTAGTGGTTAACCGATAACCGTTACTTCCTTATTAATTTCGGTTTCGGTTAGTAGTATTTTGGTTATTGGTTAACCGCTAACCGATTAATCGGTTAGCGGTTAACCGATAAGAAAACCGATAACCGCCTGCTAGTGTGACTACATGGTTTTTTACTTTGGCTAAGGGAAAAAGTTGTAAGATTCAAAACCAATCAAAGTTGGAATTCCAAACATCCCAATTCTCACCTATTGCAAACAACCCTCCATCAAAAGTCTCAAATGTTTTTAAGAGTTAGAACTCGAAAGTCACCCCTCTCTAAATCCCCTTTGCACTCGATAGAGTGAACCTTATGTTGATGACTATGGGCTAGATGAAGATCTTGGAGTAAATGATGACTATGGGCTAGATGAATTGGAGCGAGATCCTCAGATCATTTAGGTTGATGATTTGGAGATAATGAACTTGTTATTTGTGTCTTGTTGTGATTGTGACTTGTGGTTGAATTGTGGGCATGTAGACTTTTATGTTGTGGAGTTGTGGTTGAATTGTGTGGTTGCTTTAGGCTTTATGTTCAATTGATTTAGATGACTTTATGGTGTGTGATTATAGAGGCTGAAACAAAAGCAGGCCACTCAAAATTGAGGGTGAATCATTTAAAAAGGTGGTTGAAATTCGGTTTTGGGTGGTCGGTTTCTGAACAAAAACTGAGAAAGTGAACCAGAAACTGCGGTTTCGGTTAACCGCAAGGGAAAACCGAAACCGATGTTTGCGGTTTTCGGTTAACCGAAGTCTCTGTCGGTTTCGGTTTCGGTTAGTGATCTTGGAACAATTTTGGTTGCGGTTAACCGATATTTCGGTGCGGTTAAACCGAAACCGCACCGACTAACACCCCTATGCCCACCCCTACGTAGGACTCTAAATGACTTGAGTCAAGTTTAATCAAATTTGGGTAGCTGGGTGGTTGCTTGCTTGATGGATTTGGATCCGTCATAGATTTCGAAATTCTATTGTTTGTTTGATATATTTAGAAGCAACAAATATGTTGGTCCCGCGAATTTTAAAAGTCCAAATCCATGGGATCCACGAACTTGAAAGTTCCACCACTTTATGTGAAATTTGATCATGGATTTTCAAGTCCAGCATTTATGACCAATTTGGCATTCCTATTCTCATACTAATGAAGGCAATATAGGTCAATTTCATTTTATTTATACAAATCTAATTAACCAAATCCATCATGAAATCTATGAAACAAGCAATGTTATTTTTCAAGTCCATAATAAACTCAAAACCCTCATATATCCATGGTTTTACAAAATTCAAGTTTGAGTAAAATCTTCATTTATAAAATCCACGAAGCAAACGGCCCGTAATACCTTAACTTGTGTTTGACTCTAACCCAACTTGAGTTATAATCATTAATGAGTTCACGAGTTCTACTCGAGCTTGTTGCTTCTCATCAGCTCGCGAGCTTGACTCAAACTCATATATAGTATTTTTTTAGTCTGTATTTAATTATTTAATAATAACTAGTATATAACCAATATACAGTATATATAAATTATCTTTTAAATTATAAATGTGACATATTTACTCACATGCTCGACAGTATTAAAACATATGAATTATCAACAAATTAACATATGTGGCAAGATATATAATATAATAAACATATGAATTATCAACAAATTAACCCATATGTCATATATCGATTTTATCAATAAGTCATTAATCGACCTAGCTCGGTAGCCAACCATGAGCTCTCTCATGAGCTTCAAAGAAACCAACTCATAAGTTGACATCAACAAGCCACCAAATCAAATTGACTAATCAGCCTTCTGATATGAACAAGTTATAACTAAAACTCATCTCTCAGCTCGTTAGTACATGAGCAGAGTGTCAAACGTCAAGGGCGGTTTCCTTCATCATTGAGACAATATCATGCATGTTGCCTTGTCATAGGGTGTTGAATGTTGATTATGGTTTTGAATGAAACATGCGCGTTCTAAAATAATTATCGGAAGATGATAAGAGTGACATTGGGATAACAACAATTTTCATTTGGAGCAATTTGCAGGATAAAAGATAGTAGTGAATTGGGAATCGGAGAGGAAGAATGCACGAGGGGCAAAAACTTTTAATCAAATAACTTGTTTGGATGTGAACATGGGATTTTAATAAGAAAAGCCAAATTACAACCTTATCCTCGTCTTCTACCTTCCTCTTCTTATTTGTTAACCCAAAACTTACTTTCTGCCTTCTTCTTCCCCAAATCGTAGAACCTAGAACCGCCAAATAAGGATTCAAAATTTAGGGTAATCCTTCCCCTAAACACATAAACCCATAAATTGGCTACCAAAACACACGAATTGAGCTGACATCGGCGGAATAGAACAAGATTTGGGAAAAACCACGCCGGGGAAATGGAGCGGGAAAGAGCATTAATGGGAGAGGAAATCGAGCTGGGAAGATAATGGGAAACCCAAAAATCGAGCTAGGGAAGAATCACGCCGGGAAAGAGAACAGTGGGAGAGGTCTAAACGGAGCAATCGACGTCCGGGTAGCGAATTTGAAGCGTGTCGACTACGCCGGACTACCCGAAACCGAAGCCCCCGCCACTGATTGATCGGAACTGGAGGTTTGTGAGGAATAGTGTGGTCAGCGGTTTGATTCTTCTCCTGGTTCGCAGATCCCAGATTCCAAATCGAGGAACATGAATCCATATTCTTACAAACCAAATCGACGAAATAAGAACCCAGAACTCCAGAATTGATTCATCCCAGTTCGTGCCCTTTTCTCTCTCTCTCTCCCTCCCATCCATCCGACCTTTCCTTCGTCCCCTCCTAACCCGTCACCACCACCATAATCGATAGCACCACCAGCTTCTTTGATTGATGGAATAGCTAATAGGGAATTAAAAGATTACATAGCGGTGGATCAGTGAAGAAGAGATGAAAGCAGTCGCCGCCGCCGCTGCAAGCATGCTCGCGCCAAAATCCATTAGCCGACGACGAGATCTGCTCGATTTCCAGAAATCACAAACCGACGACCAAAAATTCAACCAGCCCTTCGCCCATATGAGGAGGTTTCGGGAGTTGAAATAGGCGGAGGGTTTGGGGAGGAACAACGGAATGGAAGGTCGACGACGGTTTGGAAGGAACGGAAGAACTGGCAAGAACGAGAAGGAAATAGTTGGATTAAGGGAAGGGATAATTATGGAAAAGAAAGAAAAATAATGAGGGATTGTGAAATAGCTGATGGTCATCAGCTATTTCAAAAACCTGCATTTGAGAGATTATAAAATTTCTATAAAACAATCTCTCACAATTGGGAGGTGGAAATCTTGGACAGGTAGTGGCCGCAAAAAGAAGAAGGAAGAGGAAGCAGATGACTTGTACTTGTTTGCATCCTCTGACTCTCATTGGGGAAGTTTGCAACGGGGACACAAGTAGAATAAATCTTGGTTCATATGTTGGAACAATGAAGAACACGATGAACAAAACAAGGCAAAATAGAAATTTGGCTTTTTTTATTAAAAACCCATATCCAATTCCAAACGAGTTATTTGGTACAAATCCAATGTTTAAATTTTCTGGATTTTTAAACGAGAAATTTTAACCCAATTCTCTAACAATCCTTCGTATTAAAATTCTGCATCCAAACGCCCCCTAATTGTAAAATTCTTCATTCTATCCAAATGCAAGATTGTTTTAAAATCCTGCATAATGAGTGATTGTTTTAAAATCCCTCATAAATCCCTAACTACATTCCCTTATATGGCAGGTCGAGTTCAAGCACTGCAACGAGAGGGAGACAACCAAAAGACCAGCAACGTAGCAGTGAACTTGAATATGCAGAATCGAGAGATTGTGCTATAAAAATCCCTCAACACAAACTCCCATTCAAAGACACCTTTATCTAAAACCGCAGAAAAGCTCATAAGAAACTGCACTAGGTAGTCCATACATTTGATTTCCTGCTTCAACTAGGAGTTCAGACCAATATTTCAGAAGACATCAGAAACAAGAAACTGGTAGCAATGGTTCACCACAGCATATATATATATATGCTGGATCACATTCCTGGATCATGAAGCTGGGATGTACGCTTTATACAAGGAAATGAAAGTATTTTGTGCTATTCATGATCGAAGTAGCTCGATATGTTATCAGGTAACCCGAAGCACACAACACAGCAGATACCGAAGTAGTGTTATTCTAACAAAAGATAGCGAGGAAATTTGAGTCAGGAAGGAACCATAACGATAAATAATCAGAAGCCAATGCAACAACCATCCCTAGCCAACCAAAAAAAAGGAAACAAAAGCCAAGATGAGGGAAACAGCAGATTCTCTCATTTATCTTCTTTGAAGCAATGCGCCTAAGCAAAGGGTAGCTAAATAATGCCTCTCGACCATATAGAGACAGCCCCTATGTACTCTATAACTTACTATAGTCTATACATGTATATTGTACTAACCGTCAGAGGTCTTATGCAAGGTTGGTGCTTCTTCTTTTCGAGACGAGTAGTCATGTGTCCTCCTCTTCTTAGGCACATGGAAAGGCCTCACATTTCCATCACCGTCGTCGTTGTCGTCGTCTAGTCCTTCGAACCTCACCCTTCGTACATGGCGTGGCTTCTGAACACAGTTGGCGCTGGAACCCAAGACACCACCAGTAGGAGGCAAAGTGCAAGTCTTGATGGCGTCAGTACTAATGCTAAGATGTTGAATAGATGAAGGGTAGGTGTCATTGTTCATCGCGGTTGGTGAAGCACTAGAGGAGCAACGCTCGGGAGCCCAGGCTATTAATCGTCCGGTGGGTGTGAACCCCATCGATACGCCAGGCCCAGATGGGGGAGTCGTTCGTATGCCCTCAACGAGTGGATTTTCCTTGGGAGTGAATACAGCTCCCTGAAGACACAGCATAAAAATGGTTTTCAACAGAAGTGTTTGAAAATGAGCAAAACATAAAACCATTTTCTTTACCATAGAAATAATAAAGCAAATTCTTACAGTGGAAGTAGCAGCCAAAGGAAGACGGTGAAATGGCTCTGCATCAGGAAGTCCCGTCCCAGTGACTGGCTGAATTATAGGAGAATTTTTAAGGCCACAAAGATTAGATTCAAAACCAAGAACATAGACTTGCAAAAACAAATGGACCTAGTATATTACCAAAACGTGAATAGGAGCAAGGGAACTCCCAAAGCAACGACTACGCTCCATGAAATCTAGGGCCTTATGCTTCCAATCCTCCATAAGTTGATTCAGAGACTGCACTTGAGACTCCAATTCACGAACCCGTTTTTGAGACAAGGAAGCCTCCAGTGAGTTAACCCTGGCCTGGTGAGCTGCCTTCCTTGCGTAATCCCAAACTCCCCTTAGATAGTCTCGGGGACCCTAAAATCAAGGACTAAAAGTCAAAGCGTGGACAAAAGCTACACAGCAGTAACAAAAAAGAGAAATAATGTTTTGTTACCCTCTGTACCCCTGGTGGTAAATCATCAATAGCCTCCTCCAAATGGTTACCGATTGGGAGACGACATGGATCACCATCTTTCATCCCTATGAAGTGCTGAGGGACCCTCGGTAAAGATATTTCTTTTCCAGCACCCGAAACATGGATTGGAGCACCTAAATTGTCATAGTAATCATCTCTAGATTGGTCCTCTTTCTTTGGAGAATTATTTGCATCCATTGGAAACTTTTGGATGCAGTGAGGGCTACTCCGTACCGCTTCAGAATCTGCACGTATAGGCCAATCTTGTGGCTGAACCTCAGAATGTAAAGCTCTCGCCTCAGGCTGAGTGAAATGAGACTCGTGGCAAGGAGAATCCATGGATGCTCTTTGTGAATCACCGGAAAATCCATAGCTTAGCTTTATACTCTCTTGAACCCCTTCTGCCACCGCTTTGGTTGAAATATCACAGCATTCTGGTTCCATAACCCCAATGTGCGCTCTTAAATTCTCATTGTACCCATCACCACACTCATCGTCCTTCTGCAAGGCCTCACTCATATCCACTGGAGCATTCCTTTTGCAGGGATGGTCATCCTCTGCTCTTCCCATATCCAGAACCATAGGTCCTTGTTCATGTGGCTGGCTGCTGATAGCAGTGGCAATGGTATCAGAATGAAGGCCCTCGAACTTTGAAGCTCTTGCCCAAGGCAGAGTTCCATGAGACTCATGGCAAAGAGATCCATCAGATGATCTCTGGGAATTAGAAGCTCCACCACTTAGCTTTCTACTCTCTGGAACCCTCTGTTCCACCACCATGATAGAAACATTATGGCATTCAGGTTCCAAAACCTCAACTTGTGCCCCTAAATTCTCATTGTGACCACTTCCACAATCATCATCCTTCTTTATGGAATCATTCAGATCCAAAGGAACATTCCTTCCACATTGAGGGCTATCCTCAGCTCCACTCGAGTCTACATCCATAAGTGGTTCGCCATGTGGCTGACCAGTGCTAGCAGTGCCGATGGTGGCAGAATAAAGACCCTCAGAATTTGAAGCTCTCACCTCAGGCTGAGGTACAAGAGACTCATGGCGAGGAGATTTCGCAGAGGATCTCTGTGAATCGCCAGAAGCTCCACCGTCAGTTAGCTGTCTGCTCTGCAGAACCCTGTCTGCCACCACCATGGTTGAAACCACATGGCATTTCGGTTTCGAAACCTCAATTTCAGCCCCTACGTTCTTACTGTAACCATCTCCACGTTCATCACCCTTCTGAAAGGAATTATTCAGACCAACCAAAAAATTCCTTTCAAAGTGAGGGCTGCTCTCGGCTCCTCGTGAATCCAGATCCATAGGTCGTTCATCATATGGCTGGCCGGTGCTAGCTATGCCAATGTTGTCAGAATGAAGGCCGTCAGACTGTGAAGCTCTCACCTCAGGCTTAGTAACTAGGGACTCGGGGCAAGCAGATTCCGAAGATGATCTCCGTGAATCACCAGAAGTTCTATTACTTCTACTCTCGGGAACCCTCTCTGCCGCGACTATAGTTGGAACAACATGGGATTCAGGTTTCGAAACCTCAGCTCCCACCCTTAAATTCTCATTTTGACCATCTACACATTCATCACCCTTCTTCACAGTATCATTCAGATTCAATGGAGCATTCCTTTCACAGAGATGGCTACTTCCTGCTCCTTCCTGAACTACTTCCATAGGTCGTTCATCATGTGGCTCGACGACGCTTGCAGTGCCAATGTTGTCAGAATGAAGGCCCTCAGATGGTGAAGCGCTTGCCTCGGGCTGAGTAACGTGAGATTCTAGGAAAGGAGATTCCATAGATGATCTTTGTGAATCACCAGAAGCTCCATCACTTAGCTTTCTCTCCACAACGCCCTCAGTGACCACTGGGGTTGAAACATCATTGCATTCAGATTCAGGATTCAAAACCTCAACTTTAGGCGCTGAATTCTCACTTCCAATTTCTGCACCCTTCTGCAGGGAATCATTCTGATCAAAAGGAGCATTCCTTTCACAGTGAGGGCTACTCTCTGCTCCTTTAGAATCTACATCCATGAGCCGTTCATCGTGTGGCTGGCTGCTTGCATTAGCAGTTCTCAACTCAACCTGAGTAACATGAGACTCATGGCACAGAGACTCCACGGATGATCTCTGTGAATCACCGGAAGCTCCACCAACACTAAGGTTTCCACTCTCTGTCACCACCAAGTTTGAAACAACATGGCATTGAGATTCCAAAACCTCAACTTTCTTCCCTATATTCTCAAGGTAACCATCTCCACATCCGGGATCCATCTGCAAGTCATTGCTCAGATCAAAGGGAGCCTTCCTTTCACAGCTCACCAATCCTCTCAAATCCAAATCCATTTGTGGTTGTTCATCTTGTGGGTTTCCAGTCTCAACAGCATCGACCACAGACTTGGAAGCTCCCGCCATGTCCTCGGTCACAGGCAATCCATCTGAATCAACTAGCTTATCACTCTCTGAAATCATCTCTCTCCCAAAAGTCGAATCAACCAGGCATTCTGCTTCCGACTCTCTCACAACCACCCCAAGATTACCAGCACTATGATCCGTGGGATTAGTATCACTACTCTCCTGAAGGTTCTCTTCTGTTTCCTCCATGGGTTCAGAGTGTACACAGCCTGAAACTTCGCAAAACAGAATAAATCCACCAAAATTCGAATGCCAATGGATAGAAAATAAAACTAAAAAATCACTACTGATTCAAGAATTCAGAACTGAAACCGCTGTCCAAACAATTATCTACCATATGCAATTCTAATGGAAGAAGGGGAAAAAACGAAAAATCAAGCAAAATCGGCATTGTCGCACATTGGAAGAGAATTGAACTACTCTGAAGGATTTCTCTCTCATTCTCTCTCTTCTAGCACAAACTTCAAACCTCTCGGCCCCATGGAAATTTTCCAACTGGAGAACAAGAGATGGTAGAGAGAGAGGGAAGAAGAAGAATTGGGACTGAGCTTACCTGAATCAGAAACCCCGACGGCCGCCGCCGCAGCTTGTAGTGGACTTGGCCTCAAGACTTTGGACTCGTCAACTTCCGGAATTGTCGACTTTCGCCGTCGAGCATAGCGAAGGAGCCCGGACGGAGAGAGACTCATGCAGGGAGACGGTGGACCAGAGAACGAAGCGCGAAGAACACTGAAGAGAGAGAGGGGAACAGTTAGAGAAGGAAAAGGAAAAACAGCGGTATTTAACTCTCTTTATTCTGTTTCTATCAACGGGATATGGAAATTGGGCCTATTTTTGTTTATCCAGGCCCTGCAATTTGGGGCCCAGCCTGTTTAGTATTGGCTCAATGGGTGATGAGATTTACACTCGGGTTTCAGCTACAGGCCCATGAATACTCAATGGGTCAGCCCAACAAACAGAACCGAGAGAAACCAAAAGGAAAGTAACACCAAGTCACCGACCACACAATAAATTTTCGAGAAAAAGAAGTTGACGCTATTTTTGCCAGAGCTTTTTGCTTGTTCCGCGGTGAAGGTTTAGGACCATCCCGTGTCTAGTGTATATCGTCAACTTCTCTTTCTCGAAAATTTACGGCGTTTCAGTTTTATGACAGCGTTTCGAGTTTCTAGCGTTTCTCCTTGCCTTGTTCTGTAACTGACTATGGGTATTCATCACTCATTAGCAGTGGTAACAAACGCACCTCCTCCTCGAGGCTGCAGCTCCCCCGCTTCCCACGTTGTTTCTTCACATGCTCCATTCTACCAATGCCGATTTTCCACTAGCCAAGTTCTCCACCAGTTACGTAGAAAGCCGAAAGCATACCTCGGATTGATGAATTCCCCCTTCTTACTCAAGATCCCCTTTGCGGGAGATCTGAAATTGCTCGCAGAAACCCGCAATTTCCACGCTAGCTAGCTCCTTTCTTCCTCTATATAACTCCTCCCAGCATCGTCGCCTTCAACAACCCAATCCGGCAATCTTTCTCCGCTACTACCACACAGAGGCATTTTGTCGAACAGGTTTCCTGCCCCTGCAATGGCGCCGCCTTCGCCCAGCCACGTAGCCCCGCTGCTGAAAGACGAGCTGGACATCGTCATCCCCACGATCAGGAACCTGGACTTCCTCGAGATGTGGAGGCCGTTCCTGCAGCCGTACCACCTCATCATTGTCCAGGACGGCGATCCTTCAAAGACCATCAGAGTCCCAGAGGGATTCGACTACGAGCTCTACAACCGCAACGACATCAACAAGATCCTCGGCCCCAAGGCCAGCTGCATCTCCTTCAAGGATTCCGCCTGCCGCTGCTTCGGCTTCCTGGTCTCCAAGAAGAAGTACATCTTCACCATTGACGATGACTGCTTCGTACGTTTTCCCTCCACTCCATTTTCCCCCTTTTGATTTTTTTTGCGGGAAATCGGGAGAGAACAATGACGTGGCTCGTGGGTTCTTTCGATAGAACGTCGTCGTTTTGCTATTTATGGGGTGCTGTTCTGAAATTCTGACCTTTTTGGATTGGAATGCTGGATTTTGTGTGAGTGAAGGTGGCGAAGGATCCGAGTGGGGAAGAGATAAATGCTTTGGCGCAGCACATCAAGAATCTGTTGACGCCATCAACCCCCCATTTCTTCAATACCCTTTACGATCCTTACAGGGAAGGTGCTGACTTTGTGAGGGGTTACCCTTTCAGCTTGAGGGAAGGAGTCCCCACTGCCATCTCTCATGGCCTCTGGCTCAACATCCCTGACTATGATGCTCCTACCCAGCTTGTCAAGCCTCTTGAGCGCAACTCCAGGTTTACTTCTTCCTCCCTTCGCATTTTGCCCTCTCTTCACTGTGGTCTATGTGTTCATTGGAACGAAGATATATGGGTTTTGTTCTGTTTGGTTTGCTTGAACGATTAACAGAAATGGTAGTAAGTAGTCTTCAAGTTGGAGCCTGAAAGATCTTGCCTTTTAGTCCAGTGACTCTGCTAGGTTTGTCAATGTTGTTTTGGGTTCCAAATGACTGTTTTTTTCTGGTCCAAAAATGAACAATACGAGACATTTCTGCTTACTGACTATCTATTGTCCTGTGTTTCCTGCACCCAAGCAACAAAACTGGACCTTTTTTACATGAACAATGTGGTGAAAGCTAAAAAACTGGATCTAGAGCTAAATATATGGATGGATAGTTATGCTTAACGTGGATTAACTCTAGCTCAACCAGGTATGTGGATGCTGTGATGACGATCCCGAAAGGCACCCTCTTCCCAATGTGTGGAATGAACCTTGCATTTGACCGAGAGCTGATCGGCCCTGCTTTGTATTTTGGGCTCATGGGTGATGGTCAACCCATTGGTCGATACGATGATATGTGGGCAGGCTGGTGTGCCAAGGTGGGTGTTTTCCGCCATCTTCAATAAGTCTATATTTGCGCCTTTTGCTCTGCAGCTTTTGATCTTGTTTAAAATCCATGGATGGGATTGATTCCAGGTGATTGCTGACCATCTGGGTCTGGGAGTAAAGACGGGCTTGCCATACATATGGCACAGCAAGGCAAGCAACCCATTTGTGAATCTGAAGAAGGAATACAAGGGGATATACTGGCAGGAAGAGATCATTCCATTCTTCCAATCTGCTGCACTTCCGAAAGAATCCAAGACCGTTCAACAGTGCTACCGGGACCTCTCCTTGCTTGTGAAGGAGAAACTTGGCCCAATCGATCCATACTTCCAGAAACTTTCTGATGAAATGGTGACCTGGATCGAGGCCTGGGAAGAGCTCAACCCTGCTGCAAAATGAACTTCGTCAAGTTTTCGACTCATTTAAACATACAAGAAAAAAGCTATATGTTTCATTTCTGTTATCTCTTTCAATTTGCTGCTTCTTGCCATATTTATTGTTCTGCTGCTCTGCTTGTTTATCGACTTGCTTAGCTTCCTTGTATCCTTTCTTTGCGCCTCCGGCTATAGAATGTACTAGTACTGTATACCGAGATACTTGTCATTTTGATGCCATTATCACCTATAATAAACTGGAAAGTTCCTATTTATGTTCTACTTCTGTCGTTGTAGTCGGACTTTGTGTGGAACATTTCCATCTTCTAAGCAAATTATTTGGCAATTCAGTATCTCCACCACAAGATGTCCCGTGTCAACAGGTTTAACACTCTTGAAATCTTGATAAACATGAGTGAACCTTAAAGAAACCATCACCATCCATCCCATTGTCGACATTGTTAATTCACACTGTTGCAGGTTTTTTGTTTTCTTTCATAATATACTAAACGGACACGAAGGGAATCGTACTAATTTGCAATAACTGCATATATCCGAAACCTTACCTGCTAAGAAACAGATGAGGCAGCATGGTCATTAATGTGGATTATCTGGTAGGACTAGGACCATATTGTTGAATTCATATAGGAAATACATTTTAAAAAATCAATATGAGAAATGTATTTCACACCAATAGTTCTACTACAGACGATATAATCCTTGTAATGTCCACTTACCAATCACACACTCAAACTACATCTACTTCACAAATATTAGAATATATGAGCTCCGACTTTGTCTATAGATATCACTATAACAGTGTAGTGTTATTCAAGAGTTCATGAACTATACAATTTATAAATAATCAAATTCGAAGATTTTTTGAGCTAGATTATCGTAAATTTTCTTTTACATAATGCTTATTTAATTTGAATATTTTTCTACCAACTCAAGTAATAGATCAATTTATTGTTGATATTGATTATAGTTTTAATGGAAAAATACAATTGTATTTGGACATTATATATTACTCCCATTTTGAGGGAGAGTCTTTTTTCCAACACGTGTCAACCAGTCATACGTCCACAGTAGTGCCCGGTTTTTTCAACTTATTTTATTCACGCTTTCGTTTTCCCCGCAGCTCTTCGAGAATTCAGATCCCGACAGTAGACGTAAATAGCAGAAAGAAACGAAAGTCCATTCATCTTACTCTACTGAAGGAAGAAGGAGAGGAAGAAGAGTTCCATTACCAATCTTCCGCTCGCGGGAGGAGAAAACATTTTCATCCCAGTTTCTCTGCGCGCTGGATTGGCCGCCAACGTTCGTTAACCGGTAAGGTTTTCCGTCTCTCGCGCATCATCGTTGATTGTTGATCGTGTCATCCCTGGCTTTTCCATCCCTAATTTGTTCTAGCTGGAATTCGCTGTTCCACCTGAGATGAAATCAGGGATTTAGTGTGTTAAGTTTCCAGTAGCAGTAGTCGAACAATTTCTGGAGCTAGTTCCAAGTCAGTGGGATATATTACGCTTATCCCCTATTTCTGGATTTTGCCGTCGAGTTCAGGAATAGGAATAGGACTTAAATTGGATCTGTTAGGGTTTTCTTGGTGCTATTTCGCCGGTGGAGTGATTATGGGAACTGTGTATAGGATGTTGCTTGAATACCAGTAGTCTTATCATGAAGGTGACACTTAACTTTTCTTTCAGTGGAATTGATGACTCTGGAAGTGTTTGGTGAGTTGTAAACCCATGTACTGGGAACTGACTCATTGTCCATTTTGGCAGGTCTGCTTGTTGATTAACTGCTGCTACTACAATGGATATCTCGAATTTTAGTCGCGGCCAGCTGACCGTGATGGGGTCAGGATTGAGTGTGATGCTCACGATGCACTTCACGGTGCAGCTCGTATCTCAGCATCTCTTCTACTGGAAGAACCCTAAAGAGCAGAAGGCCATAATCATTATCCTCCTCATGGCTCCTATATACGCTATTGTTTCGTTCGTGGGTTTGTTGGATATACGCGGAAGTGAAGCTTTCTTCATGTTTTTAGAATCGATCAAGGAGTGTTATGAAGCTTTGGTGAGTTACTGATACTGCTGGGTATATATGGGGTTTCTATCTTGTTGTTCTCTGTTTGTGTTGTGAAACAGCTTTCTTTTTCCAACTTTTTGCATTCAGGTGATCGCCAAGTTCTTGGCTTTGATGTATAGTTACCTCAACATATCTATGAGCAAAAATATTGTCCCAGATGGAATCAAAGGGAGAGAGATTCACCATTCTTTCCCGATGACACTTTTCCAGGTGTGATAAGCCATCTCCTTCTGCCTACTGCTTCAATGAAATATAAACCAGTTGTGGAATGTATTATATCTGGCTTCTGATTGTATCTACAAGGTGTGCTTTACCATCGCCATTTGTCCCTTCATTCTCATGGCCTTTTTGATTGTGTATATGATGCAGCCTAAGACTGTGCGCCTTGACCACCGAAATCTGAAGCTCATCAAGCACTGGACCTGGCAATTCGTCATCATCCGCCCTGTATGTTCCATCCTGATGATAACACTGCGAGCTCTCCAGATATACCCTTCATGGTTGAGTTGGACGTTCACCATAATCCTTAACGTCTCTGTATCTCTGGCACTGTACTCCCTGGTACTCTTCTACCATGTCTTCGCAAAGGAGTTGGCACCTCATAGTCCACTTGCAAAGTTCATGTGCATCAAGGGTATCGTCTTCTTTTGCTTCTGGCAGGTACATATCTCACTCCCTTCCCGATTCCAAAATGGTCCCTAATACTGCACATGGGCTTCAACTTCATAGAACTCGATTATGCTTCCCTTACACCCCGCTCTATTTCCCTACTCAATTTCCTCTCATTTATTCACAAACCCTGCTCTTCGAATATCTGCAGAGTATTGTGCTCGAGGTGCTCGTTGCCATGGGGATCATCAAATCCCATCATTACTGGTTGGACGTAGAGCATTTGGAAGAAGCTTACCAGAACATCCTTGTCTGTTTGGAAATGGTTGTATTCGCACTTCTCCAGCAGTATGCCTACCCTGTTACCCCCTATAGTGGAGACGTACAAGCCAAGTTGAAGATGAATAAGAAGAATGAATGAATTTTACGATATCAGGCCATTACTGCACTACACATCAATAAATGCAATGTATGCTTCGAAGATCCTCATGACCTCTACCGCCATCTTGTCCCTGATCATTGGAAGCACATTCAGAACGAACGTATGCATTCATTTCGTAAGTACAAAGATGTTGCAGTGTCTCTCTATCTACCTCTCTTTGTCTTACAAATGTGGTTTGGTCTGGTCTTTTGAGTGTTCTATGTGATCTGCGAATCTAGTTTGTCAATGGAACCTATTTCAAAACTTATATCCGAATCTTCGAGATGGTGACTGGGGGTTTGCATAGCATGGTGTTCTTATTGCTGCTGTGTGCTGGTTAACACATTGTTTAGCAGTGGCTTTATGTTTCGGCTGATTTTGATATCTGGCAACCAGTAATCATCAGAAATCCTGATTTCTCCTTCTTGAGTGGGTTTTCTTCTTTGTGTGCATATTCATTGCTCAATAGTCGTGAACGGATTGAGTCGAGGCCAAAACCTGAAACAAGATGGCTAAACCAAAATTCATCCAATTCTATTCAGTACCACACTAAAGTAATCTCAACTATGGGAGCATAATCTTTTTTTTTATCGGACTATGGGAACATCATTTACTTTCAAGTCAAATTAATTATCTTTTCGTCTGATCACCTATGTTGAGAGTAGTAATCTTATTACCGATTATTGATATTCTAGTAAAATATAAGAAAAGTTAAATCGTTCTCAAATGTATGTATGGAGTGTAATCCCGAAATGAAAGTCAATAATGACCCCTCTAATTCTTTGCTACCAAAGTAAGTTTGGCATTCTCAATAAGACTGAAAATATCAACTTTAAACATGTAGATCAAGAAGTAAACTTTCTTTCAAACTAATCCGAATCTCAAAATCCAATTCGAACCAATGGGAAAAGTATGATTACTTAAGCAATATCCCAAAGAGAATGTTGATAAAAATAGACACAAAACTAAAAACTTATAGGCATTTGAGTCCTTTTTCCCAAGTGGAATGTATTGTTGTCTTTAAGCCTGCCTCATAGTGAATCACCACCATGGAAGGACTACAAATCTACAATGTGGGCATGAAAAGTCAACCCTTTCATAGTCTCAATATAATGCAATGAAAGAGCTTTCCTTATTGGTGGCCTAAATCAAAGCCAAGAACAAGAAACTTCATCTTTCAAAAAAAAAAAAAAAACAAGAAACTTCAATGGTTTTCAAACCAAAGCATACCATTCCAGGGTTAGCTGAAGCTAATGTTGACCCCAAAAAAAACCAGACCAGTCACCAAAGCTTGGGATTAGTTTCCTTAGGTTGGTGTAGAAGACAGGACAGATAGAACAAAACAGAGGCCGTCAGCAACTTGTCACTGTCGATAAGGAATCCAAAAGAGGGGTGGAAATGTTGAAAGAGAAGTAGGGAATTTGATTCGAAGGGGCCACCCAGAAAGGAGTTTTGTGTATTTGTGTTTAGGATCTTGTGAGGGGAAAAAAAGGTAATTTACAGCTTAATGGCCAGTTTGTGTGCAATTTGTCAAAGGGATAATGATTTGGTTGCTTCATTAATGAATGTGGCCATTGGGATGCCTCTAAGGAGTTCCAGACAACTTCTTTAAAACCCATTGATTTTGGGTTGATTGAGAATTTGTTGGGTTATGAATGATTACTCATATAAATAAATACATATAAGAAAGTTGTTAGAAAGGTAATTCAATATTAGATTCGAAAAAATTTGAGGTGTATAAAAAGATGAAATAAAAAGGAACTGATAAGATATTCACGTGTAGTATGAGAACGAGATGATCAAGTTTACCTTGTAAATGTTACTCATCCTACAACCAGTTAATCACGTGGTCCTAGTCTCTCCGGAACTCTCTATTCATTCCATATCAAACGGTACATCACCATATCATTGATGAACATGTCAATGAACATGTGTGGGCATCACTGTGGTGTTTGCTTCATGTTACTTTCCTTGATCTTACAAAATATCGTAAATACCATTATCGGAAGTCAATGTCTATCTGATTGCCCAAGCGACTACTAATTTCTCGAATATCACGCCTAAATACAGTGACCAGATGTCCCAAATCTCGCGAATTCTTGTGTCAAACTCAACCTGAAGACATAACTTTCTCTGATAATCCATCAAGTAAACACACATTTGGAGACTTGGACCATTATTATTCTCGTAATTTAAATATTAAAAAAGGAAAAGGAAAATCAAAGAAGTGTGTGATTTTGTGGTGTCAATTAACTTCTATAACCATTTCATTGGATAGCATAAGAAGAAAATGGAGAGTGAAGTCACAAAGAAAGAGACTCAAATTGACACATAGAAACCTAGCTAATACATATACGTTATCTTAAATTACCAAATTTTTATGAGAGGATGGATGTGTTTATAATTTTTTATATGCACATATAGATATCATCAAGAAACAGGCCAAAAGTATGTTGAAATGGTTGGACCAATATATAATGAGTTTGATGAGGTGTTGTTTTAAGCACTTAACTAAAATAATACATATCTTGAAAATGAATAATTTGTGTGGTACACCCAACCCTGAAATGGGAATATAGTCAATTGGCAATTATCATACTCTTGGTCCAGCTTACAATAGTATAATGAACAATTCAAATAAAAAAGTTTATGAAAAAATTTACAATTAAAATTCTTGATCTTGACTAACTACAATTAATTGCCATCACCAAATAATAGTTAAAAATATTAATTTGGAAATTATTAGCCCATAATATAGTAATGATGATGTATGTGGCCCTGTTGGTGATTGGCAATACTCTAGAGGTCTTATATAACCTATTCATTAATTAAGCTTGAGTATGTTTGAATATTTGGAGTCATAACACTAAGATTAGAACAAAGAATAAAAATCAGACATGAATGGTGCATACATGATAACCTTATTTTGGAAACAAAGTTTTTACAACACTTAATCTCAAAGAGAAAAAAGACCAGATAATTAGTTCAATTATCGTCCGATAGTTATTAACACAAATCCTCAAATGATAACTAATTTTTTTGTGCGAGATTAACAATTCGACATATAATAAAAGTACAATATATGATACAATCATCTTATCTATTATAATATAACGATAATATTGTGACGACTTCATCACTAATACATAATCTATCTAATATAACCAACTAATACAATGCGAAGAAGTGTTAGTAGTCGTATTTCATTATCATCATCGAGTAAGCAAAAAAAAAAACAGCTTTTACTTCATCGATGTTACTTTGCTAGCCGACGGCAAACGGAATATGGCATGATGTTGCTAACTGGCTGGTTGTTGGCAGCCATTTTGGCACTTTCTCTTTTCGTCTTCCCAGAAAATAAATATGGAAGCAAATAAAATAAACCCATGCACGATAATAACAATATTTTTCCAGGGGTTATACCTTGGCTGCATTTTTTCGTTTGGAAATGGATATTTTCTAGGCAACCAAACAGAACCTTATATTATATGAAAACGAAGGTCATGAACAGGAAACCACCCTGTGAGAAGAGCTAGGCAACAACCAAGCATAGGAAGAACCACCAAACTACCAACTAACCCAGAAACAGACAAACAAATAGAAATTATTGTCGAATAATATTAGGTACACACTGGAAAATGTGTTCATATATATGAATTCTAGTTAGTTGTAGTAGGTTTCCATCCATGTAAAAAAAAACATGTGTTTTGGTAACTTTTTGTGATGAAAAATCATGTTAGGATGTGTTCGTATGACAATTTCAGCCAATCAACGTTCCGACTCAATAACAAAAAAAAATTATCTTTGAATTTGAAGCGGAAGCTTTTAACATATAAGTACATGTACTATATTGTTCACCGTGGGTGTCTTTTGTCGTAAGTGTTTGCTTAAATTTGTTACTACTGCAGCCCATCTCTGCTGAGAGAGCAAGTCTACTTGACTTGCATGTCACCTACGTTTTGAAAATTGATCTTATACTGCTCAATCCAACCTAACTAAGTTTCGAATCATGAGTTCACGATGAAGGAGATTGATGATGACGGTATTAGGAGCCGTATCTGGAGATAATAAAAAAATGTTGAGCATATGTGACTATGTAAACATTACGTACATACTTACTAGAGACATAAACAAACACCGCTAGCAATTAACTCAATATGGTTTTGTAACCAATAGAACTAGACTCGTTGAGACTAGACCGGACCAATCAAGTATTTGCTTAAAATTTTAATTAAGAAATTCTGTAAAAAAACTTCTTTACAAAATTTGCTATCACTAAGTCACCTTTCATAATCTAAATCCAGTTTACTTAATACTCACTGATCACAACTAATTTTCAACGAGAACCTGTCACCATCTCAATCTAATCTTGTTTATGTGCCACATGAAGCAAAAGAGAAATCCGAATGGGTAACTACTAACGCGTCGATTGTGGGTGGCTACACGCTGGTCTTCCATTCAGGAAAAACAGGGGAGGGCCAAAATCCAAAAATCAAATAAAATAATTAATTGTCATAATCAATCAATTATATAAAAACAAAAAAAACTTCGTTAGAGCAGTCAAGCAATGCAGAGAATTATTAGCCGGAAAAACCCCTACCAGGAGGAAAGCAAGAAACTCTTTGCAAAAACCCAGAAACCAGAATAAAGGAGGATTACCCACTTTCTCAGTCCTTCTAAAAACTCCAATTCCTTTACCCACACAGATTCTCCTTCTTGGGTTCTTCTTCTTCTTGCGTAAAGTTCCTTCCTTTCTGATCTCCTAAAGAAAACCCTTCTCTGTCAGAAGCCAGAATCGTTAAAAGGGGCTCACCGGGGTCAGAGAGGGAAGAAAGTTCTTGGGGAACAGAGAAAAGGAAAAGGAAAAATAATGAACCAGAAAGCCAACGTTTCCAGGGAACTTAACGCCAAGCACAGTAAAGTAAGGTCTCTTTGTTTTCCCCCCTTTCATAGCATACATGCTATGTTTATCAGGATTCAGGAGTTTCCGTTCTGTTAAGTTTTTTCAGTTATGCTTGTCTGAAATTCGTTGCTTGTTTATCGGTTTGGCAGATATTGGAAGGGCTGCTCAAATTGCCTGAGAATAGAGAATGTGCTGACTGCAAAAGCAAGTGAGTGAGGGGGTTTATATCAGTATTCGGTAGAGAATCTTATTAGGCTTCTTTCACCATGGGAAATTCTGTTCTGATTCACTGCTTTTTTATTGATTGTTGTGATTTTGATGTATAATTATGTATCCATCTTGTTGGTTTCTGTAGAGGTCCCAGGTGGGCTAGTGTGAACCTTGGAATCTTCATTTGTATGCAATGTTCTGGAATTCATAGAAGTCTTGGAGTACACATATCACAGGTGGGCGCTATACATATATAGTACAATAATTTGACAGATTATAGAAATCATCATCACGAGGGCTAATTATGGTTATCTGTACGTATGGTGTGCAGGTAAGGTCTGCTACACTAGACACATGGCTGCCTGAGCAAATTGCCTTTATCCAATGTAAGAACATCCTTTTCTTATCACCTTTCTCTTTCCTGTTTTGAATCAACTCTCAAAGTGAATGAAAACTTAAACACAAAGTGTGTACTTTTCCTTTTCCTTCTTCTGTATGTGACATTGCTGGTTCTTGCTACTGCAGCTATGGGCAATGAGAAATCAAACAGTTACTGGGAAGCAGAGTTGCCTCCTAACCATGACAGAGCTGGGATTGAGAACTTCATCAGAGCAAAGTAAAATCTCAAATATTAATGTTGTTTTGATTGATTGTTTGTTTGTTTAGAATGCTGCTGCTGTTGAGCCTGTTAGTGTACTTCTGGAGTCTGAACTTAGGCTGGTGGTCTTTTAGGTATGTGGATAAAAGATGGATTCCAAGGGATGGGAAAGCAAGAATCTTGCCATCAAATGTGAATGGAGAAAAGGGTTCGATAGCTGGAGGAGCTAGTAGGAGTAATGAGCAGAGACAGATAACTAGAAGTGATTATGATCGTGCTTCTATGGACAGAAAGATTGCCCCTCCACCCGTTACTACCAATGGAAGTAGTGTTCGTGTCTCCAAGAGTGCCAATCTGGAGCCTGTTGCTGTTGCTGTTGCTGTTCCTCCCAAGAGTAGTCCTCCAGAGCCAGTTAAAGTAGTTCAGCAGCAGCAGGTAAGATGCGATTCTCACATTTTTATTTAACCAGTGAAGGTGTAATGTTATCAGTAAGCCATGTCGCCTTACCAAGCATGTCCTCATGCTATGGTCTTTAACAAACATGTCGCTGTACTCTATCGTGAATGATAGACAGTCTAGTCTTGGACAATGTGTGAAATGAGACATATTCTGAGTGACACTGAAATTCTGGATGAACAGATTGCGGCTCAAACCCCAAAACCACAACAACCTGTGAAGAACTCTGAACCAGCAGTAACAAAGCCAGCACTGCCGAAGAAGGAAACAAGTCAAACCCCACCTGCACCTGCACCTGTACCAGCACCGACACCAGCACCAGCACCTAAAGTGGACTACGCAACTGAGCTTTTCAACTTGCTTTGCATGGATGGTTCCAGCTTAAACGGCTCTAATGCTCCGCCAAGCAGTAACGCTTGGAGTACTACTGTAACCGAGAAAAAAGCAATTGAAAAGGTATAAACTTTGACCAACTTTTGGAGGTTTAAAGGTCTATGATGACTTAATTGTGTTACATGTTATGGCTTATTAGTAACTGTCTGACCTTCGTGGTACCAACTTTGCAACAGCCCAGTATGATCACTCCACTTCCCATGCCTCAACAGCATTTCCAACAACAACAGCAGCAGCAGCCATTCCAAATGCCTTACTCAGCAAATTCCAATGTAGGATCCCAAGGTTTACCCACAAATGGGAATACAATGAATTCAAATGGGGTTCAGTTTTCCCAACATAACTGGCAAGGAACAACCGGACACCAAGCTCCTGCAAGCACATCGATTCCCATGGCTGCTTATCATCCTGGAAAATATAATCAGGTTCTCCTCTCAACTCAAAAGCTTCATTCTTTTCGCATTCTGGGTCGGAGAAGGCCCACATCTAACGACAAACTCTGTCAACTTGGACGAAAATGATCGATTCGCTTTAACTAAAGCTTACAACTTCACTAAGTCCTACCTTACTAATACGATTTCCCCACTTTGAACAGACTGGAAACAACCCACAGATGCATCCAATAGCAAATGCATATCCTATCCCAATGTCAAGGTATGCCCCACTAACAGAAGTAAAACCACACCTTGCTTGTGTGTGCCTAATCCTAACTCCTTGTGGAATACGGAAAAGGATAACATTCGAAGTTCATCCCTTTTCTTACTAGAGTAAAATTTCAGCTGCTTTTACTTCGAAGTTACAGTTCGGTTAAACTCGAGTGTGTAATTTTCGTGTTCTCGTCGTGCAGTATATACGGGCAAGGGCCGGTTGCTCCCATGAATGGCGTGGCAATGCATCATCATCATCATTATCCAGCTGCTGCTCCTCAACCATATCCAGTTTCTGTAGTAAATCAGCCTCAGGGACAATATTATGATTTATTGAGCTTCACGCCAGGTGTATATCGGACATGGTGAAACAGAGAATTGCTCTCTGTTTTCTTTTTCCTTGGACCAAAACACATTTACCTGGAACTTGTAGACGTAGTCTTGTGCAAAATATTTATTGGAAATAATAGAAAGAAATTGGTTTCCATTTCTTTTCGGAGCAGACTTCGATTTGGTTCAATAAAAAAAACTAAATAAGATAGGAATGTTAGGTCGAGGTTTACGACGAGAGCAAATGCGATAAAACTGCGGTGATTTGAGTCTATCAAAAAAATATTACCGGATCATATTCATATTCAATGTAAAATAAATAAGCGTATTAATACCATTATGATGTTATCATTACTAATTGGTGATCAAAATAGTATATTTGCTAAATACATGTTCCAATAGATAAAAGCCACTGCTGCAAGATCACATTGCATGCACCAAATTGATATAATGCAAATCAAATGGGTTTGGGCTTTATAGGGTGGATCCAGGCTACTAAGAGAGAGGATCAAATTGTGCTTCTGGGCCTAGATCTAAGGTTTAACTGGGCTAATCAACCCAAAGACTAAAACCAACCTGACAAAGTCATGACAGACAGCTAAATTGGAAAGATTCCATATGCAAGCTGCTGATAGATTCAGTAGTCCACACAAACTCTGGTTTATTTAGAGATACAACCCATTTAATTACCCTCCACACAATTTTGACTATTTATTTAAAATAGTTGTGATAACGATATCAGTTGATTTGGAATCACGCTCTCTAAGACTTGAATCTACAACATAGAATTATGGAGATCCACGTTATACCCTATGAACCTGAAAACAAACTAGTCCTATTATATGCAAGCCATACAAATTAAAAAAAAAAAATCCTATACTCTAACAATACTAGAAAAGCAGATAATGTGTAGTCTAATGATACCTAAGACACCATTACAACTCCAAACAACGCTATTTGAGTCATTCAAAAAACGTTTGCTGACAATCTATTTTTGTACATTAGTTTTGCAGTAGAAACGACTTTCTAATACATAAATAATGTTGTAAGTTTTGAACAATTTGTACTTAAACTTGTGTCTCACTTTACTTTGGTGTTCCTTCCCCTTTAGACCGTACATATTACCTCAATCTCACTCCATATTAGTTGACACTTGGCAGTGGTCGAAATCTAGGAATATCTATCTAGCTATTATCTTCTTTTTGTTTAACCTCTAAGCAAACAAATGTTTTGGTCTAGGTTGGTAAATATCTTTGCCTTGAGAAATCATGAGATGGAAAACGAGAAAGCTTGATAATTCCCATTTTCATACACCAAAGAAAACAACAACAACACAAACAAAAAAAAGTTAATTAAAGATAAGTTAGATTCCAAGATGTAGCCATAACATGTACGAGGTTACCATTTGGCACCCGCAGGGTAAATGGGCGGTGGTGTATTTGGACAAATAATTTAATTCAGAAAATTGGAATGAACAGCTTACAACCGCATTCTCTTATCTTGGAGCCGGGACTGGTCTGCGGTTTCACACGGTTTGACTTGCTTGACATTTGACTTCTGGGCCGCGGATTGGGTGACGAAGAGAATACAGACTCTTTTATATTGGGTTTATCCAATAGCAGCATGCAAACCGTTACGGGTAACGGTGGGTGGGCCTAAGGCCCATCATCCTCGGGAGACGAGACGGAACGGAACGGGAAGGAGATAAACTCCGTTTAAACTGCTTTGACCAACTTGTCGGATAGCCATTTGCTGATTTGCACGGTGGGGCCGTGCAACAACCACCGTCCCGGAACGGATATGCAACAAGCTGGGTTCGGTTTAGCGGTGCCCGTGCCATACGAGACACGAAGATATATATGACAAAACTAACTACGGTCATTAAATTTAAGTGCTAAAAAAGAAAAAGGTCAAAAGACAAAAATAACTATTTCAGGCCGAGATTCTTGAAGGGATTCGAATTTAAGACGTTCAAGTTGAAAATCAACGATTTAGGGCCTGTTTACTTTCATTTCTGTTTCCTGTTTTTGAGAAAACAGATGTTGAAAACAGGTGAAAACAACATTTTTTCGTTTCCAAAAACAGCAGGAAGTTGCCACTTTCTGTTTTCATAGTTGGAAACGAATAGAAAACGGAATGAAAAGTAAACAAGTTTTCTCATTTCGGTTGCCAAATTTATGACATGAAAACAGAAAACAGGAAACGAAAATGAAAGTGAACAGGGCCTTAATTGCTAGACTAATTTCTTGTTCATAAAATTTATATTTATTGATACCAGCTGATTCTTTGAAGAAATTAACAACATACATAAAATAAAAATGAGGACTTTCAACCTAAGCTAATCCAGCATTATATATAGTATATAACAATAACTCATGAGTCTTAACTATCTTTCTTACCGACTTCGTATTTCTTAACCTAAACCCCTTAACTTAAATACAACAGCTTAGACTCTAAGTCGAAAGAGAAAGAGTGATCAACTCGCTTTTAATTTCCACCCAAAATAGAAGTTGTTTTCATCGTGGAGCAGCTTCCACACGTCCAATTTCCCCAGTATTATTCCCCGCTGCTTTCAACGCAATTACTTGCGTAAACGGCAATCGACGACAGTTATAAGAGAGACTGAGAGACTATAGAGTAGTTGGAAACCATAACTATAAACTAACGATATCGTCGGATACTTCCAGGATGCTTCACCGGTCTCTGTTGGCCCCGCTCGCGCTTGACTGAAGGGAAAAGCTACAGCATTCGATTTTCCCAGCTTTCATGTCAACATTAATCTAGCTACTAGATCCTCATTTTGTGGCTAAAACGTGATCCAGATAAGTATATTAGACCCATAAATAATGACAAAAGTTATAGTTAATGAGGGTTGTTTTGTTACTTGTGATGATGGTTACGTGCAGTTTGTGTAGGAGAAAATTTGCATCTCAAAATAAGTTGGATAAGTTGTGTTGAATGTCGCGATAATCTATTGGTACGAATAAGTCGAAGTAATATTGAGAGAGAAAGTCTCATAGTAATATTGGTACTTCTATCATATTTTGTGTTTTGATATCGACCAATTGTGATCGAACACCGTGACATGTATTTTAACGAGTACCAATCATCTAAATTGTTGGGATCCAGAAGTCTGAATATATGTATAGGGTCACCGATCGGTAAAGGATCACCTTGCCTCGCGATCTCGATAGTGAATTCTGAATGCAAACTTCTACGTGTTGATGGCAAAACTCATGAGGTAGAAGAACGAATAGGTAAACTAAGGAAATGAACATGTGACGACATGCACACACTCTCTATTTCATACGTGTTGGCCGTTTATTCGTAGTATCAATCAGATTTTATAAGCTTATATAATCCAACAACTCGAGTTATTGGAATCAATTGGTTTTTTAATTACATGGTATCAAAACTCGTTTACCCAAGTGGGCGTCTTGTTTCAATCTCCACGACCTCAAATATTAACTACACGTTGATTAAAACACAATGTATAGTGGGTACTGTGCATGTGCAAACTTCAACCCCGTGAACCGACTTAATTTCATTTGAGAGGCGTGTAAGAAAGTGATATATGCTCTATAATCAACCTTTTCTCAACAACCTATCTCATTAAAACCAATGATTCTTAACAATATGTAACCATACGATTGAATCCACGATTGATCATCATGATATGCACAAAGTGCACACACTACAAGAAACTGCACTTTTTGCGACGAATTCTATTGCGACGATACCAAATTCGTCGCAGAAAGTGAACATTTTGCGACGAATTTTGTTTTTTCGTCGCGCATTGTGTTAACATTTTGTGGTAAGTGGGGTAAAGGTTTTTGCAACGGTCATTTCTTTTTCACGACGACTTATTTCGTCGCAGAATGTTTGGAGACTTTCGGCGACGATTAACAACCGTCGCAGAATGTTTAGCGACTTTCTGCGGTGATTGTTTGTCGTCGCAGTTTGTTGAAGACTTTCAGCGACGATTTTCTGTCGTCGCAGATTGTTTGGAGACTTTCGGCGACGATCCTCTATCGTCGCAGAATGTTTGAGACTTTCGGCAACGATTTTCTATCGTCGCAGAATGTTTTGGGACTTTTGCGACGATTATCATCGCAAAAATGTTATAGATATTATTCGGCGATTGTTTGTCGTCGTAGAATGTCTCAAAATATTTGCGTATTAAAAATTTTAATATTTAATTATTTAAAAGTGGGAGACACAGTATGCATGAATTATTAGTTTATGAATACCTAATGTACAAAACTATTTGAAGAACACTTATTGCATTAAGTATTTGTGTATTTCTTAATGAGAGCAGTTAAAACTATACGAAACTCTTGCTTATCAAATAATTGAATGAGTGCAGTTGGTTGTGTCACTTGTCCAGAATTTCATCGATGAACTTGTCCCGTGTTCGATACCCCGAGCATTCAGTTTAATTTTTTACGTTATATAGAATGAGGGGCACTTTTGTAATTGCAAACTCACATGGGCAGTATATAATCAGAAATTCAACTGTGGAACACCAATCTCATTGAACCCTAGCCGCATTTTCTTTCTTTCTTCCCTTTTCTCCTCTCGGTCTATCTTTCCCTTCTTATTCCTTGCTGCATCTTCCTTTCTCCTTCCCTTTTATCCTCTCGGTCTATCTTCTTTTCTCCTCCCCGGATATGAAAGAAACGATCAGAAAAGCAACTATCCGGGTAGGGATTGGGCATACATGTGTGTTTTTTTTGGGGGGGGGGGGGGTTGTTCAAAATGGGATTCTGACGTTTTTCTTTATGGGTTTTGGTTTCGAACGAGGGCGGAAGAAAAGGGGGTCACGTGGTGGCCTCGGGTGTTGACGGCGGTGAAGGGATCATCCGCCAGACAAGTAAGAAGAGGGAGATCTGGGTAAGTAGAGAAGCGAAAGAAAGGAGAAACCAGATCTGGGTAAGTAGTCGATTTTTTGTATCTCTATTTCGACTCTAGCTGCGTGGAACAGCTCTAGATGCGCCTGGACGAACAGATCTGCTATTCCGAGTAGAAAGCGAAAGAAAGGAAGAAACCAGATCTGACTTTGATTTTTTTTTTTACTTCTCTAGCGTTAATGCTTTTGTTTGATTCAATTTGTTCGTCTTGCTTTGATTTGGTTTTTTGTTTTTCTAGAGAGTTCCCGTAGTTTGTATTGTATTTAAAAAATCTGACCTTATTTTCTTTGCAGGTTTGACATTCGGACTTTGCAAATCTGGATTTTGGATGAGGAGTGGGTAGTGTAGTTATTTTGGACGAAATATGGAATTTTGGGTTTGATG